AATAAGTTAGTGAATGAGTATGGTTTTACGCTGCGTTTAGCAATATTCCAGCAATATCACGGCAGGGTGCACCAGAAATGGGCTTCACACATTGTACCCATGTGGGGAATCGAAACCAGGTGTCAAAATGACCATATGGAATCGCACATTAAACCTTGAAGTCCAATGGTTTGGGGGAAATGTTCCTCTGGGAAGTTTTTTTCGGGGGATAAGATGGGGGTGCATGCTGTAAATAACTGCTGTTTGTTGAAACGGGCCTGCCAAATAGTACTTGGGACTGAATGTTAAAAACTAGTGAGAACATTTGACGTTGAGACGCCCATTCAATGTCACCCCGGCAACGAACCCAGAACACTGCACGACTGGTACTGACAGCAAAAAGTTATATTTAACCAAACATCTAGAAATGAGTATGTGTGCTTAGACGAATTGGGGATTTCCTGCTGTTTGTATATAAAAACATAAGCATCGTCCAAACGTGCTAAACTCGTCCAGTTCAGGTATATATAGTTACACGTATACATATGCCATTACATCGTTGTTCCGGTATCTACACACTTTCTCACCGTGTTCACGTTTCTTAAAATGACGAGGCCTGCTGTAGAATCACATTTATTTAAAGAAAATGAACTACAGCCTGCGACTTAATAGGATGTTCAGATGAACATACTTGAAAGAAGACCCTGACTTTAGGTGTTCATGCGTACGAAAGACCAATAGATTGCTCATGTACAATTCCATTTTACAGCAGCAAATATTTCGTTTTCAATACAATCTCTTTATTTCTCATACTGAGTGAGTGAGTATGGGTTTTATGCCGCTTTTACCAATATTCCAGCAATATCACGGCGGGGGTACACCAGAAATGGGCTTCACAATACTAAATATGATCGTATCGTAGCCCTGTCAATTTAACCAATATTTAGTTTGGGATGGTGTTTTGTTCACTGATGAGTCGAGATTTCATCTGGACAGCTCAGATGGTAGCACAAGGATTACAGGCGGCGAGGCGAACGGTATGTTCACGCGTGCGTTTGTTCAACGTCGACAGTTTGGTGGCGATAGCGTTATGGTATGGGGAGCCATCACATCTCATTGTCGGACACAATCGATACAGGGATGAGATCAGTGGGCCTTATGTGCAGCGTTCAGTCAAGGACAAAGACGTAACATCACGCTTCAGCAAGATAATACCCGTCCACATGTCGCTCGTGTTGTGACTGATTCCTGAGACAGCAGAACACTCCGGTACTCCCCTGGCCAGCTGTATACCGGAACTGTCCCTTATCGAGCAGGCGTCGGATGAAATAGAGCAACGTTTACGTCAAGCCCTAGTCTGTCTCACAGTCCCTGAACCACAATATTTTCCCTGCTGCCAAGCCCTCTCTGCAGTGCTAAAGCCCTACATAAAGCAAGTCTAGATTTCCTCAGGTTCTGAATCTCTGGTCTCCCTGGAGCTCCTTTTCAATTTAAATGGGCTTGTTTGTTACTATCAAAATTATATATATTCAGAGACTAAGCATTGGTCTAGTCAAGCCCCTACATGGAACAACATTCCCCAAGCTTTCTTCAATAGCTTAGTGTCAGTCTATGAGTCGTAGTTGTCAAGCCGGCATCAACGCCAATGGTGGACACACACGATACTGAATTTGTGAACTGACACCACATCTCTTCAAGGGCGTGTCACGATGCCTAGTGTCAAACCATACATATTTCGATATAACCCCGCCAACAGTTAAACAGTGATTATGGAAAACACCACAAATCATGTTATTATATTTTTGCATTATAAAATGGCATAAAATCAAATAATACTCAGTAACTTTATTCCAGTAATATATAAACACAAGAAAATGGGAGTCCATAACAATTGTCTAGTCTTGACGTGAGCGGAACCCTTTTTTAATTTATCCTCTACGGTCTGGGAGACAGTCTTTTCTTCATGAGGACGGGGTGGCAGGCTCCGTAAATGCCCTGCATGGTGCCATGTCATCGTGCCCCAGAGATGTGGATTGTCGCAGGTGTTTTCCGACACTGAGTTGTGTGGTCCAGACTTAACACCGAAGCAGTTATATAGCTGGAATGTCTCCTAATGCCGCTTTAATCAACTCTCAGCTAGATGGAGAGTTGTAAGAATGCATCACAAGTGAAACGACAATGACATCACACTAATCCTGAAGTTCCCAAGTCTTTAAAGCCTGGCCTGGCTTGAACATCCCAATGTTTCCTTGAATACGAGGGGAGTTCAAAAAGTAGTCAGCCTCACCTAGAAAATGATACAAATGCAGCTGTTTTTATGTTATATATTATCTGTCAACCTCAAGCAAATTGGTTTTGCTATGTTCCAGCCTCACGGTCCCCATTTCGTTTGTCTTTTTACCTTGGTACACCCAAAAAACGCAAAATCTGCAATAACTTCAGGAAACAAAATATGCAAGAAACATTTTGTGTGTTTGAGATAGGCAGAAGTCCGTTGGAATCACTTAGATATTAAAGTGCAAAAAAAGCAATTTGAAACTACAATAGCTTGACTTTCAGATGACGTAATCATAAGGACATAACTACTTCTAATGTTTCCACTCTTTCATAAATGATGCTAAGGGTTCAAACTAAATACTGAATGGTCACACAAGTGTCAGCTCTCAATATAATGTAAACAGTGCTAGCTTGAATATCTGGACAAAAATGTTTTTGAAAGATTAAAATGGGGTTGGGTGGTGGTGGGGGTGTCCTTAAAAACAGCCCCCGTCTTTAGAAATGTAAATCAAGCATAGATAGAACATACAGAACAAGTATACATATATGGATGACATCTTTTTTTCTTCTAGAGCACGACGTTTCGATACAGGTTCTTGTATCGTTTTCAAGTATGAAAACAAGCAATCCAAATCTTTGACTGTTAACTATGACGGGAGGTCACCCAATACTATACTGAACATTTTATATATTATCCGAGGGCATACCATTATCCAAGATGTACCAAATGACATATCGTTTTTCATTTTCTGCAACACTTCAAGAAACATAATACCCCAATGTGTTGTGATGACTAATATCTCGTTAACCACATTACCCACATGTGTGAAATTTTGGAGATGTCTTTGCTAATGATTCCCTCATAATAGAATGGAAGCTTTTCAAACATTGGACATCGAGAATATAGTTCGGCTGACTACTTTTCGAACGCTCGTATGTATGTATGGCGTTGTTTGATATATCCAAGCATTACAGTTGCAAATGGATATAGTTGTAAAATATTCTGGGTATTTCTTCTAGAGTCACACAGAAAACCACACAAACCAAACATGTGAAGTGTGTGAGGTGATGTGGCTAGGTAGGGAAATTCATTTGCAAAATGTGTCGGAAAGATACTGATGGCTTTAAATCGAGGGCATGCGGTGTGCTGCATGCATGTGTGGCTGCTTATACTGTAGTCCAGGCTGCCCTTGTACAAAGCAACCTAAGCCCTACAACAGTCGTAAGTCTGTTCAGGTATGGGAGCTACGATCAACTCCGAAAAGCGCCAAAATCGCTTTGTACAGGCATCCAGATTATTGCCCGTTTTATTATGCTACCCAACCGAAAAACCAAGCCAGTTTTAACATACTCACCCGACTCCGACACAGTATAGGGACACCCATTCTACCACTGGGACACCGAGTATACCACAGGGACACTGAGTATACCACAGGGACACCCAGTCTACCACAGGGACACCGAGTATACCACAGGGACACCGAGTATACCACATGGACACCCATTCTACCACAGGGACACCGAGTATACCACAGGGACACCCATTCTACCACAGGGACACCGAGTATACCACAGGGAGACCCATTCTACCACTGGGACACGGAGTATACCACGGGGAGACCCATTCTACCACAGGGACACCAAGTATACCACAAGGACACCCATTCTACCACTGAGACACCCATTCTACCACAGGGACACCCAGTATACCACAGGGAGACCCATTCTACCACAGGGACACCGAGTATACCACGGGGACACCGAGTATATAACAGGGACACACAGTCTACCACAGGGACACCACAGGGAGACCCATTCTACCACAGGGACACCCATTCTGTATACCACAAGGGGACACCCATTCTAGTCACTACCACAGGGACACCGAGTATACCACAAGGACACCCATTCTACCACAGGGACACCCATTCTACCACAGGGACACCGAGCATACCACAACACCCATTATACCACAGGGAGACACCCATTCTACCACAGGGACACACAGGGACACCGATTCTACCACAGGGACACCGAGTATACCACAGGGACACCCGAGTATATCACAGGGACACACCACAGTCCCATTACCACACATTCTATCTACCACAGGGACACCAAAGTATACCACAAGGGGACACCCAGTCTACCACGGGGACACCAGTCTGCCAGTCTGCCACAGGGACACCGAGTATACCAGGGACACACAGGGACACCCAGTCTGCCACAGGGCCACCCAGTCTACCACAGGGATACCGAGTATACCACAGGGACACCCATTCTACCACTGGGACACAGAGTATACCACAGGGACACCGAGTATATCACAGGGAGACCCATTCTACCACAGGGACACCGAGTATTTCACAGGGTCACCCAGTCTGCCACAGGGACACCCACTCTACCACAGGGACACCCAGTCTGCCACAGGGACACCCAGTCCGCCACAGGGACACCCAGTCTGCCACAGTGACACCCAGTCTACCACAGGGACACCCAGTCTACCACAGGGTCACTCAATCTACCAGTCATTGTTTTGTTCCATTAAAGGGGAGTGACAGACAGGGTGACGAGAACATCACTATTTTGAATGACCAACTGGGTATGGAAACACTGACCTTTCTCTCAGAAGCTATATCCAATTAACCACCGTCACAAATATATGACACACATTAACGTTATTAATGAGTCTTCACCATAATCAAATTTTCTTAGCTTAAAATAAGAGAACATGGAAACTCACACATTACTATTCAGCTTTATTCCAAACTTTCACACACTCTCTCAATACACTACTACACAGATGAAGCATACCCCTGTGTGTACATCAAACAGGTACAACTGGGGTGAAGCTGAGGAAATACATGACCTACACAGACTTCCAGGATCAAGGAACATTGTCAGGTTCCAGCCATGTAGAACCTAATCATCACTTCTCAGTCTGGAGCATCACTGTGTTAGTGCCAGCATTAGTGCTGAATGTTTGACTGGATACAGATTGTCTTCAAGCATGGAGGCAGGCAAGTCATCAATACTCCATTATGTCATAAAACAACAGTTGACACATGAATATGAAAACATATTTTTCTTCACAGATACGTTTATGACATTTGACTTTCCCTTGTCAGTGTGTTTCCACATTACACAGCATTCCTGATGATTGATGTCCAGTTTTGTGCCAGGGCTTCACCAGAGAAGGTTTGACCATGACAGACAGCACTCCCAGACTCTCCACCACCTTGCTCCTACTCCACTCCCAGACACCACGCTGCCCTGCTCCTACTCCTCTCCCAGACGCTCCACCACCTTCTCCGCTCCCAGTTGCCTGTCTCACGCAGCAGTCTGCACAGAGGTGCCTTTGTCCTGCTTCTCCACACTGGTAGATGAACTGGTGTCTTCCTCTAACTCCTCCAGAGGTTCAAACTTAGGTACACGATATGTCTTTATCAGTGGCTCTCTAGGGGGCATCCAGTCTGGAATTATCTTGCCGTGAACTCTCCACTGTCCATACACGTTAGCGATGTGCTTCTCAAACACCACATACTCTAAACAGTCTTTGGGAATAGTCTCACTGCCGTACATCAGACGACCAAACCGGTCATAGATAGCAAGGATCTGCAACAAAGTTCAATTAACATTCAGAACAGTGATATCTGGTACATGACACACACCACTGAATGACACCCCGAACATATCGGCTGTACATCTCAGCACTAAATAAGCCCCATAAGATATGTGGTGCCAGACAGCACAGAACAAAAACCCCTGAATACATGATATATGTTACATTGCATACACACACACACACACACACACCAACAACTATATGGCAACACACCTGACCACACTACTGCACACACACACACACACACACACACACACACACACACACACACAACACACACACACACACACACACAAAACTATGCGAACTGACCTGTTTGGTATGCATCCTCACGGTCACCTGGGCATACAGGTTGTCCTTCCCCAACACCTCTGTAGTACGGACATGAGTCACACGGGGTGGCTCGATGGACTCCACAAATCCCCAGCGAAATGTCTTGTTCTCCAAACCAAACACCATCTCCTGCAGAAACAACCACATTGACAGGATAGTATCAGTAAAGTTCTACAATAACAAGAAGAGTGTTTCTTCATCTTTGAGAGGCATTTTAGAAGTTATAAAGATAAGGAAAACCAAGTTCTACGGATGGTCACATGCTTGATAACGGTGTTAGTACCTACACCAAAACGTCGCACTCATTGCAATAAAGAAGTTGGCAATCCATAGAAATTGGTTTTCCTTCAAGAAGACTGTTGCATCATTCACCTCAACTGCAATTAAACCATGCTAATACAGGTGAATCAAAGTCATCACATTTAACAGAACATTGGTACAGTGGAAAGTTACACATTCAAGTATCCACCGATAAATGTCTGGAAAGCAGAAATTCAGGATTAATCTGGTGCGAACTCTGAGGTATTTCATGAACTGAAGCTACCTTGACTGAATGATGATGTTATTGAAACATCTGAGTGTGCTTCATCAAAACAATCACGTGACAGTATCACGGTACGTGTAAAGAGGGCATTATTTGTTAAACACTCATTGAAGTTCCTGATACCAAATTGAACTTTCATCAAACAGACATCAAAATAACATCGGGAGAGGTATGAAGGGAGATAACTGTTGGATGTACCAAGCTCTATGTTTCAAGTGTTTTATGGAAATCCTGTTTTTGTTTGTTTTGTTGGCAGCCAAACACAGCAATATTCCACTTATAACACAGCAATATTCCACTTATAACACAGTTGTCTGCAAAATATCAAACAAGACAAGTCAGACCAATGATGGACACTGTGAGCATAAATTAGATACCATGACGGGCAGTGAACCAAGTCATCAAGCATTAACAACAGATTCAGGGTTCTTCTTTTCAAATTCAAGTGAGTGAGTGAGTTTAGTTTTATGCTGCTTTTAGCAATATTTCAGGAATATCTTGTGAGGGGACACCAGAACTGGGCTTCACACATTGTACCCATGTGGGGAATTGAACCCAGGTCTTCAAGCATGACGAGCCAATCCTTTAATCACTAGGCTACCCCACTCCCCCCAAATTCAAGTCTTTTCACAGATGAATTTATAGTACTTTTACAGTAGAGTATACTAGTGTTGGGAATTGGTTCAAATCTCATAATTGATGACTGGTTCATTACTACCGATCAATCATCGAAAATAATTGGTTAGCGTTTATGAAATTTGTTAATGCACATAAAAATAAGGAAAAAAACATGAAGTTCTTTTAGGGTTTTTTTTGGCAAAATCTTTAAAGGATGGCTAGTATGTCTGGAACATAAATTTCTTGGAATCTTTAAGATAAATTCAATCATGACTTGAAACGAGATTGCAGTGCTTAGGAAATGTAACAGACAAAACCAACCATGTGAAAAATATTGTTAATGAAAACAAGTGTTCCAGAATTGTTTGTGTTTGATTATGAGAAATTATGATCGATTTCTTGGTCGTTTAGTCACTTCGACCAATCTTCGATTATTTCAATTAATCGGACCACCACTAGCGTATACAACACATAACATTATTTTTGAGACTCTGAGTTATTCAAAACAATTTGGAAATAGCCATGTATTACAGTGTAGCAGACAGCAAACAAGCAAATTAAAGAACATTGAAAGCTACGGTTCAATCTGTGGATAATTGCGGTATGGAAGCCTTGGGGTTTAAGTGTTGGCTTGTCATGCCAAGGGGCCCGTTTCATTTACCACATGGGTACAATGTGTGAAGTTCATTTCTAATTTGCCCTGTATATACATTCTGGAAAACTGCTGAAGGAAAAGTGGCTTAAAACAATACTCGCTTACTAGTCAGTGAATACAATGTTCTTGTAAAAGTTATTTGATAAAGGACAACCATTACTAAAAAGCACATCAGTGTTGGTTAACTTCTTCAGAGCAGGATACATGACTAATACCTACCACATATCCTTTCTCAGAGACAAGTTCATGGAGTCGATTCTTGTTGCCTCGTACACTGAAGCAAATAGATGAGCATTACAAGATTGGTTGGTTGGTGTGCTGTCACACTCAGCAATATTCCAGCTATATGGCGGCGGTCTGTAAGTAATTGAGTCTGGACCAGATAATCCAGTGATCAACATCATGAGCATCATTCCACGCAATTGGGATACGATGACATGTGTAAACCAAGTCAGCAAGCCTGACCACCTGATCCCGTTAGTCGCCTCTTATGACAAGCATGGGATCTTCATGGGTCAGACATTATAAGAACAGCACAACCAGGATAAATGGCAACTTGACTAAATATGACTCCCTGTGGGATGTTAAAACACATAGCGAATAATAGTCAACTAAAAGCATGATTTAAGAAAATGAGTTCTTTTTCTGTAAACTGGCACAACTGTCAACTACAACACTGGCTAAAATAATCGTCCTACTCCTCCAGACACTTCTGAGCCTCCATCAGAATGTCTTGGGCCTGCTGAGCAAAGTCCTTGGTATCAAAATCATCTTCGAACTGTCGCACTTTCCGGAGGGCCATAAACGACTTTCCTTTCTTCTCAAACTCTGTATACTTCTGTTTCACTCCCTGGCCAAAAGAAACAAACAATCCTCAAAAAATGGAAAACAAACAATCCTCTCCTTGTAACAGCATTCAAATAGGAAGTTAATGCTGATAATCATATAGAAATCTCAGAATTTCAACAAGTCTTCATCAATTGCTTTTATATTTTACCCATGAGACATTTGGAACAATATAACATTATGTCATGGAATAGTTGCATATTCTACAGATACTGTTTTAAAACATTCTCAAATGATTGATAAGGGTTCACTGACCTCAGTTGAGAGGAAGGAAGACTTGCCATCTCCTTCTGGAGGGACGAAGGGTTCAAATATGGCAGCTGCAACAACACCACCAAAATATCATCTCCTTGAGTGAGTTGAGGGGATGGGGTAGAGAGGGGAGGGGGTGTTGTCAGAAGAGAAGTTTTGTAGAACAAACCCACTGAAATATGCAGGAGCAGGTTAACAAGGATACCCCACTCAGACACAGTATTCTGACTTGGTGACTTTCAAGTTCCATCTTTTGGTATGATTTTAGCACACACCTTTCACTCTCAAGGCAGGTGCTTTAATCACCAGGGAGTCAGCTTTTATGCCAATATTAGCAATATTCCAGCAATATCACAGCTATGGACACCAGAAATGGGCTTCACACATTCAGCGTGACAACCAAACACTTGAACCAATACTTTTCCCCACTGCCCCACTTTAAACATCAGACTATGGGGTGTGGTATCCCTACATGTTAAACAGAGGTCGGTACTGTCTCATATGCCATTACTTGATAGATACTACTGAAATGATGGTGACGATCAGTGACAATAACATTCCCTCAACTTCTCTACAATCACAAACATTTGACATTTTGTCTGTTCATTGAGAAACTGATCTGTTGGCATTGACTAAAAATCAACTTCTTTATCATATGATAATTAGAGATGCATACATAAAATAGAGATTAACAAAAAAGAACATTGTAGTTAATCCCTTTCAGGCATACCATCGTGTTGTTAATCTAGAGATATATAAATCTGTTCTGTGATGTAGTACTTCACTCTTGCTTGACAAATGAATAATAACTATAGCAATATGTCGTATAATGTAGAAGATGAAATCCATAAAGTATCTTATATTTCTCATTCAGAAGTTCTCATAGAAGATTTTAATCATGTGCTTTAAACAACTGCATTAGTGATAGTGTGTTTCTCTCTTGGCGTACTGTGTGCACATGCATCACTGTTCATGCTTGATGTGAAATTTCATTTTGTCATTTGACAAATGGTTTGTAAATGTAAACCTCAATGATAGCTACATACAAATCATTAGTCCCATTATTTTTGGTCAGCAGTATAGTTTAAACTGATAACGCTCACTGAAGAGTCATACACTGTGTACTGTCACACAGGTTATTTTCAATTATGTAATGAGTTAAATATATTGTTGTTATATGTAAAATTATAAAGATTTGACGGATAATATATTTTGTCATATTTTATAAAGTAACTTCATTACAGTAAGACTGTTGAAAGAGTGTAAAGGATGCAAGATTGTGGCTGTCAACATGGATTTCGAATCTGAGACAAGGGAGGTAATCACAAGGAAAATTGAATAATACAATATTTCTCACTGAATTTGAAACAGTCTACCTCATGATACCACAGGCCCTCATGTCTTTGTGAGGATTAATGATTAAAAAAATATTGTTTTTGAGATGACCCCCGACTCGAAATGCTTCACAGTACAATACATCATGACAAGGCCGGACACTTCAGTGCACCCCACCCGACTGCTTTGCCGATCGCTATACTACCATCGCATGCAATCAATTGAAACTTAATGGACACATAACCATGGATGATTGGCCTATTGAGCACCACTCATGACACCTACCAATTCTTTATTGTAATTTCTGCAAGTCGATTGAAACCCGATTTTGACTCTCAACTAAACGATCTTGACACAAATGGCTGGCGATATATCTGTACAAAACGGGGGTGTGGTCGAAGCAAGGGGGTCATCTCAATTTTTTTTATCTATTTCATAAAATCTTTAATCCTCTCAAAGACATGAGGGCCTGTGCATGATACTGGACATAACTTGTTGGGGGCAAGTCCCAGTCATAGTGTAAGGGAGGTAACTCACATGTGCAGCTAATATTGATGGGTCTCTCTTGAAATATTCGTGGTGGTGGAATTTTGTCTTCCTTCATTTGTTTGTGCTTCTCATCAGCCGACATGTTCCGATCTTTCATCACCTTTCCATAGTCTGGCAAGTCAATCTGAATAAACAGCCATAAAAGTCAGTCATTTTCAAACAGACATATGTGCAAGGTTAATTAAAAAACAACATGTGTGTATGGTTCAATAAAAACATCAGACATATTTGCAAAGCCATTCCAACACAACAGATGTGTTTGTAAGATCGTTCCAGATCATTATCAAAAGCATGTCTGAATTTTCTAAACTTTATCTTGAGAGTTCCATGCAGTGTTTGTAAACTACATGTCATGGACATGCATGAGAGCTCCGTACAATGTGTCAGTATGTAGAACCTATCATTGACAGCGAGAGTGAGTGAGTGAGTGACTATGGTTTTACATCACTTTTAAACTTTTTAGCAGTATTCCAGCAATATCACAGCAGGGGATATGGGCTTCACAAATTGTACCCATGTGGAAAACTGAAGGCAGGTCTTCAGCGTCTCGAGCGAATGCTTTAACCTTTAGGCTACCCAACCGCCCCTGGCCAGTGAGACTGAGAGCTCAGTGCAGTGTTTCAGTGTTAGTCTCAGCGGGGCTTGGAGCAACCAGCCTCACCTTCATAACCTTCTTCCTCCGGAGTTTCCGAAACTTTGGGTTGAAGTGTTTGCTTGACGGGTATCGCACCTGTAGTACACACACGGCTGGAGCACACTGGGATATGACAGGCACAGAACATCTTGATACCACTTGACAGCTTAAGATTTTCTGAAAAGAAAACCAAACTAATATGAGTATGTGGGCTCTAAAAAGATATCAAGTCTGATACTGGAGCAGATGACATAGGCTTTTAATAGATACTGAACACTTACTACTAAAACCTAAAAATTGCATTGTGCAGAACATCTACGTAACATCAGTGCAAAACTGTAATGGTGGCAATGACACTTCTCGAAATTATAAAGACTCTAAAGATTTCTTATCCAATGATTCAAGGGAAAATGTTTCTGGATAACCTGTCCTGACAAATAACTCTACGAAACGACGAGCCATTAGAGATCAGTGAAGCGATCCAACATGTTTTTTTACATATATCAATTTCTTATCATACTATTATTGGGCAGCAGGTGGCGAATGAGTTAAAGGTGCGTAACCCTGAGGATCCTTTTATCCTTTTTAAGGGGTGACCTTCCCAAAGCTCAAACTACGAAAAGCGCACGCTGGGCCATTGAAGCGTGGGTTAGAGATCAATAGCAGTATGTAGTTGGATAATATGAAGTCTTGTCACCAGTGGAATATACACCGGTAATAGTTTCAACCGAAAAGAAAAGGAACGTGCAACAAGTGCAAGAAAACAGGGGTATCTCTACCCATGCTCGCGGCGAGCTGCTCAAGAAATACACGTTTAACAAACAAATAGGAAAGAGAAAGACACTGATCACAGAACAAAAGCAACACGCTGTAATCATCATAACAAATAGTACACAGATGTCATTGACCTGATGACAGCCGATACGCACGAGTCGGCTTATGTGCGCGGCCATTTTGCGGGGTCAACTACGCGTCACGTGACTAGCCAGCCCCAGTGGCCGTGATACATTTACCCTAAGAACGAACTTCTATGTCATCGACTGAATGTCATACATTTACTTTCATATTAAATGTCCATTTCTTTCCTTACATTTTCAGAGAAACAAATCCGTCATACAGCCTTGTGTTACATTGCCACCTCGATGCAAGTCGAGTAGCCTAACTATCATTGTTCACGATGCAGTATGTATAAATACGTTTCTCGGACTAATTTTGAAGTTAAGCAATGGTTATTCTGTGAAAGAAGTAAACGTGTGTTCATACCTATCTACCTATCCACCTACCTATAAACACACAACCACTTCTTAACTACCTTTTTGACCGAACGTAGAATGTGGGTAACTTGATACTTTTGTGTATACATGTTTCAGTTATAAAAGGTAACCTATAATGTGAGGTGTTGATCACTGATCAGTATATCACTCACTGGTTTGCCTGACCCAGGCTTGATTATACATGTATACAGGCCGTACAGGAATATTCCCGACTGCAGCGTCAAACGGCAATTTCATGAAGCATAAATGTTTGTTTTTTTCCAAATCTGTCACCCTGACCTTCAGTACAACTACTGAAACCTCTCAAGCATATTCAAAATGTGGCCTGAAACATTACATAAAACCTTGCGAACGAATGACTCAACTTTGATCAATCATCATAAATCAATATGACATATTTACTTGTAGATGATATTAATATATTTTCCGATTGTTTGTTTAGTTTAACATTTGCGCTATTTTAGATCTACAAACAAAACAATAACCTTCGTTTTCTTTGAACAATGGTGTGTGAGAGGTACGAGAGTTGTGCAGCGCTTTCATTTAATTCATCAGGATGTTATGCATCGATATTACGGTAGGTGATAAGTTGTCGGGGGGTAGCATCTGTGGCACCGATTCATCACGAGAACTTGCGCGACGCTGCGAGATTTGCCCTTAAACCGATTTTTGTCCAAAGGAAAGGCTGTATTGAACGTAAGGAGACTTTCAGTTATCAGTTATGGGTTTATTGTACGATTAATTCACACAAATTTATGTGAGACGTTTAGTATATCGACTGTAGTGTAAGATGAATGTGTTTGATTTGTTACATAAGCTTCCTGAATGCGAACATTACTCAACTTGATGCAATGTGCGTGGTTTCGCGTCATGGCTGCTGGTCCGTAGCCATGTTGTGACTGGAAAGGCAAGAGGTAGAATGTGTTTTAGCGAACCGAGGTCAACGTTTCTTGTAAACATTCACAGTGTGATCGCGATTATTCTGTTAATAATGTTACTTCACTTTGAATCATGTTCTCATTAGTTAATTGGCATGGACATATTTAAACTTTTCTGTCTTTTTTTATGGAAGTTACTGAAAAGAATTAAATTTTTATTACGAAAATAGAACGTTTTTACATATGTGGATGGGATGTTAGAGAGCCTCCACGTTTTTAATTCATATTTTGTTACGAACCAATAGAGATTTTGACAGTCACTGGAAATATTTGAAATGTCAAACTGTGAGATTTGACCTCGCAGCTCAGGTATCAGTCATCACTTGTATATCACTTAACCCAGTGAAAGACGTGAATGGATAATTAGTTTTTGAGATGACAGTAAGACACAAATAGTGATTGTTGACCTTTGTTATTGATCATGTTACCATGAACTATTCCAAACTACAGGATATAAATTGCTGATGAAGCATTATTTTCAAAGAGACAATAACAACATGTTAATCACTTTTTTCCATTTGTAAGTACACACGATTTGTAAGATTACTTTAGACATGTTAAAGCTAAAAGGCATTTTAAGTAAATCATGTGCAGTCTGTTTTTGAGTGTAGAACCTTGGAAGGGGTGTGTATGATAACAAAATGTCACTGCCTTTGTGATGTTTAACATCATTAACCAGTCATGGGGTCAGCATGGTCAAGTTAATTAGGCCATAGCAAACAGCTAATGCTGTCAAGGCAGTTTGTCTCGGCTGTCACTACCAACAGTCTAATTGAAGGGGGTATCATTTGTCATGTTTGGAGTTTTTTACATTCAGGGGAATCTTTATATTGCATTGAGTGCTATGAATACACAATGCCATTTGGGTGTGTTATTTGTGAAATATGTCACTAGTGCAAATCCCTATATCATGTATACAGCAATGATTGCTTAAGCCTTAATTAAAAATACCAATTTACATTTTCATTTGTTTTACAAATACTAATGTACTGAAGACAAAGAAAATTATGAATATGGAAATCCCAGTAAATTGTTTAAATGTGAACTATTTTGGCTGAAGTTAAAACCACCATGTTCACTATTGCCGCATGATATTGATAATAAACTCTGATTTATTCCAACAGTTCTTGATAGGCATGTCTTTGGTTGCTCCTTTTCTAATTTCTGATTATGTTTTAACAGGAAATTATCGGTGTATTTGCAGAAGTTTTATGACTACTAAGGCAGAAAAACCAACACTATCAGGCACCCGTCTGAAAACCCGGAAAAGGGGTAAGGAATTGCCTTTGATCATCACCATTATTTTGTAATTCAAGATCCAGAATTATAATCATAGTAAACCAGATACTATGTCTCTGTCAAAACCCTTCAGACTTTTAACATTTCAGTATATTTTAGTGTTGATATATGGACTATTAATGACAGGGCTTCCTAGACAGGACAAAATTTTACGTGACAAGGCTTTTGTCTAGTTACTAAAGTCAGTCTTAGTAATTGTTTTTGATGTTGGTGACAAACAATGCTTAAATTCCTGTGTAGTAAAACATTTTATGTAGAGCTATTAATTATAAGGCAATAGCATATATGCAGGGGGCGAATGCTATTGGAAAATTGGATTGAACACAGCATTTGGGGTTAAATATTTGTTATTTCCAGTACTTCTGGTTTGTTCAGTTAAGAGCACTTGTCACGCTGAACTCTTCCCATTTCCTTGCCATATCTTTCTTTATGTATACTATAGGCGAAGAAACTTCTGTGAAACTGTTTATTGGCATTATGATCTTAAAACTTCATATCCCATAATATGCAGACATAACTTTGAACAGTATCAGGAGCATGTGTGGTGACCGTGATGAGATAGCTTGTCCCAGTTTCTTAAAGTCTCTCTACCCAGGGTTTTAAGCAGTGGTAACCTTTAACCCCTGATATTGCTTTTGCATGTGTGATCATATGGTGTGTACACTTTCCAAAGTGGAAACAATAATGAAAGCAGAAGATAGCCATTTTGTACATCATGCAGATTTATAATGTCACCAAAAGTTTTATACGAACATTGTTGTTCATCAGATGAAAAAGAAAAGTACGACCCTGCGGCTTTTCGAGACACCATTATCCAAGGGCTTGATGAGACTGAAGGAGATTTAGAAAAGGTGAGCATGAAGCAGACAAGCTGTTACTGTTAGATGAATACATGACTCTCCATTGTGTTCTTAGGTAGTTAACTTAAATGTGTTAGGTTATTGTCATCTCCATCCTGCAGCTTGTAATGTATAACCAGTAATTTATGAGGTTTGTGGGTATGAGTTTGAGGACTTTATAGCCATTATTTGTAACATATGACATAGTTTCATCTTGTTCATGTGTGTCTAGGAGTCTTGTCACTGATGTCAGAACACCCATCTACTAGTACTACATCTTTTCATTCTAGGTTTCTAAGTTTCTTGACATTTCGGGCTCCCGACTCAACTATCGCCGCTACGCTGATGTGCTTTTTGATATTCTCTTTGCTGGTGGACAATTAGGTAAATTTCCTTTAAATAATGTATGACAGTGGTTAATAATTGTGAACATTGGTGGTTATAATTTCTCTCATTTTTTGTTTATTTTGACAGTCTTAAATTATGTAGGTCTTGTGTCTTCACACGTCAAACACGTTTGTGTTGGGGCTGAAGTCTGTAATTTGAAGAAAATACAAATTCGCCGTGAATGGTGGAAATTTTGTATCACAAAATATCATCCCTTGATATTGTCTTTTTCTTTACTCATTGAGACATGCCATGTTGGATGACTGTCAAGTTATTGCATACATGTGTAAAGAATTTGCTTCCTTACATTTCACAGCTCCAGGTGGATTTGTCGTGCAAGATCCTGACCCAGAAAAGCCATCCCGCACCAATGTTTGCGTGTTTTCCACTGAAGAAAACGTTGAAAAGCAGAAGAGCTTCTATGAGGTCTGTAATGGCATGATATTTATCGTTGTGAATGTTTGTCCACCAGTAGCACCTTGCATTAATGACTTGTTAAAATAAACCATGCAGTGATGTGCCAAGATTATACACATCTAATTTCACTGAGTTTTTCATATCACCATGAAGTCCTGAGTCAAGAGCATGAAATTCCCAAAAGCAACTTTGTTGCCAAGGTCTGTTTCCTGTGTATGGTTATAAACTGCCTCTGTAAGAATAGGAATACACGATTCTTTTATTTCCCTTTACCTGCTGAGTTCACTTTGTAGAAGTAATGTTGAAGCATGAAAAAATGTTTGAAATACTGTCATGATTACCTGTAGTTTTCGACCGCCTCCGTGGTGTAGTGGTTAGAACGTCCGCCTGGAGAGCGGAAAGTCGCGGGTTCGATCCCTGACCACGTCATACCAAAAAGACGATAAAATATGGTACTTGTTGGTCCCTGCCTGGCGCTCGGCATTAATGGGTACAACAAGGACTGGTTGGCTTGGAGTCAGTATAATGTGTCTGAGTGGGGTATTCATGCTTCACTGCAGCATGGTATATCAGTGGGCTAGCACTGTAAAACCAGCTTCATTCTTGGCTAGTACAAGCAGCCACACATACACACGCATGCACGCATCATGAGTGAAATATTCTCAAGCAGGACGTAAAAACCCAATTTCTTCTCACCTCACCTGTGGTTTTCAGGTGTTCTACAAGCTGATTCGTCGCTACAAGTACCTGGAGAAAGCTTTTGAAGACAGTTTGAAGAAGATCCTTGTGTTCTTGAAAGGCTTCAGTGAGGATGAACGTCGCAAGCTGGCAATCATCACCAGCCTCCTGCTGGCAAATGGGCTGTGCACTGCACGCGTCCTTGCCAGCCTCTTCGAGGACCACTTGGTCAAGGAGGGTATGTAGTCAGGATCAGACACCCGTGTTGTTTGCCCTCACATGAATTGCCAGTATGGTCATGTTTCAATTGATGTTATGACTTTGTAGTGACTGCTGTGTATTTGTATTTTACTGAAAACTGATTAAAAGTATGGTTTTAATGCTTAATTTTACCTATTTTATGCACTGTTAAAATCTTTGGGAAAATTCCCACTTTTGAACTTTTTCATTTTCCCTCTCTGTTGTACCCAATGTTCCTGAAAAGGGTACTCTTTTTGTAATCCTAGATTATCATAATATATAGATAATTTTGGTTACAGTATCGTTAGACATGCATTATGGATGCCATTTCAAGATATCTATTTTCATGCGCTGTTTCAGGTCTCTCTTTGGAATTCTCCACGGTAATGTTTAAAACATGGCTCGGAGAACGAGATTTGAGTTCAGTGTTCTCAACACTGAAGAAATCCCAGATTGACACACGTTTGATGGTAGGTATTGCATACTTGTCTTCAAGAACTGTTGCAAAATACATGTAATTTGACTTAATCTAATAAGTGAAAATACAAGAGGGATCTGTATCACACTGTCAGTGGTGTATGTGTGACAGTTCTTAGCAGTGTTTTTTTCACTTGTTCTAGGAACTGTTTCCCATCAATAAGAGGAATCAAGATGTCTTCTCGGCATATTTCCGGAATGCTGACCTTGCAGTTATTGCCGATATGCAGGTATGTTCTTACATTACTTCATCCATGTAACACTGTAACACCCATTCTATTGCAGTGTCTGTCTGGAGAAACATTCTTAGACTAAAAGGAAATGTGATATGAATTTAATCCTAAAGTGTTAATTTAACGGGGTATATAGCGTTCATTCTGTCCGTCCGTCCGTCCGTCCCGAAACTTTGTCCGGAGCATATCTCTTAAAGTTTACATGCTAGGTTCACCAAACTTCACACACATGTTAATCATTACCCATTGATGTGCCTTTTGCTATTTTAAAGTTTTTTCAGAATTTTGTTTTTTTGCTGTTTCCATGGAAACACGACTTAGTGCCAAATGTGTTTGATGGTTTTGTCCGGAGCATATCTCTTAAAGTTTACATGCTAGGTTCACCAAACTTCACACACATGTTAATCATTACCCATTGATGTGCCTTTTGCTATTTTAAAGTTTTTCAGAATTTGTTTTGTTGTTGTTTCCATGGAAACATGACTTGGTGCAAAATGTGTTTGATGGTTACCTGGCCACAGCATATCATCAAAACTATACATGCTAGGTTCACCAAACTTAATACACAAGTTAATCATGACCCACAGATATGCCATGTGCTAAAAATAACAATCTTCATCTACGTCCACTTCATTGTGTGCAACAAGTTCAATTGTATGTCAGGTTTCCACGGAAAACACAAAAAAATAATGTTTCCATAAATTATTACTGTAATCAGTACATGGCAAAACTATTATCTAACATGTATATAAAGTTTAGTAGAGTCAAGGAGAAAGTCTTGTGAGCTGCTGATCCTTGTCACATTATATATATCAATATCAGTCATTTCCATGTCCCAAAGTGGGAAGCGGGGGTATGTGAGCTGTGCTCACTTCTACACTTGTTTAACTCATTATTTGATTTATTGTACAGGTAAAGCAGGAAGCTGTAGAGACCAAGAAGAAACTCCAACAGGAGATGAATGATATGATCCACGAACAGCAGCCAGCAGCTGAGGTAGGTCAAACTTGAACTAAGCCAAACAAGTACTGACTAAACCAAACAAGTAGCAGTTAAAAAAAATGTGGCGGATGATCCAACAAATGGAATCACAAGTTTCTTGATCCCAAATCTTTGCAACCCATTGAAATGTTTAGTATATGTGAAGAGTGGTTAATTTAATAAAATACTGGGGACGCAGATCATCACTCATTAATTTCAACTGTTGTTGATATGGGGTCTAGTTCTCTGAATGGCGATGTCTTAAGTTCTTAAATGGCTTTTTATGCTTCTCAAATTGTTACAGATTAGGGCCTACGTCCTTGAAGAGATGCAGAAGAATGGTATCCCAGAGCATGAGGTAGTCATCCTGGTAAGTATGCTTAACGTGTTGCTGTTTGGGTATCACTTGGTTAAGCCTGTTAGTTATGGCCTGTGAAAAACAGGAAAATAGGTCATTACAGGCTGCACTGTCTATTGGGTACGTCAGTGATTGGATGATCCCCTGACCTCTTACCTGAAGATGTTAAGATGTTCTTTGTATCTGTCTCTCCACTTTAACAGGACCACTAAATGGTGGAAAGTGTTGTCAGACAAGCTGATTTAGATTATTGTGCGTCATTAGACATTTCTCATTTTATCTTTGTTTTTTTGGCTGAATTAACTATTGCTATTAACAGGCTACCAAATTAGGGCTGTAACTGTGCATACTGCAGCATAAGTTAACTGGTCCAGCATCTTGGAATTTATGGATGGTGGTTGGCATCTTCACAGTTACAGTGAATCTAATTCTCTGTATGATTTCCCTCAGTATATGTAAATGTCTTTGTATTTGACAAGTTTGCATGCTACCAGGGTTTTACATGACGCGTGATTCCTGCATATTTGATGCAACAATTTTGTAAACGACTCTCAAAATATTATCATAAGAGTCAAGCTTGACGCAAGTTTTATGGGTGGCCCTCACAATTCAGTTCAATAAAATCGATTTGATAAGCAAAAAAAGACATTGTTCGAAGTTTGACTTTCACAGAGCTGTCAGATTGTTCCAGAGTACTCAGAGGAGACAGTATTCCTGGCTGTTTGAATTGAACAATGCTGTAGTTTCATTTGGTGGTGTGACATACACAGTTGCATACTGAGAATGATTAACATAAAAATATCATGACTCCCAAATATTGAAAATGACTCCCAAAAATAAATATTGTGAGTCACGATGACTCCCATTTTTAAAAGTCTGTGTAAAACCCTGCGCTACTAGTTTGTCTATGTTTCTGTGTTATACCTCCAGGTATGGATCATTGTGATGGGCTCTGTTGAGTGGAACAAGAAGGATGAGCTGGTCACAGAGCAGGCCCTGAAACACCTGGCCACATACTCTCCTCTCCTGGCTGCAGTATCCAAGTCGGGCAAATCACAGCTGGCACTTATTCTCAGGATCCAGGAATACTGCTACGAAAACATGAACTTCATGAAATCCTTCCAGAAGATTGTTGTCCTCTTGTACGATAGTAAGTTCTTGAAGTTTTACCCCCAGCCAGTGTCATGATGGTTTTGTTCACTGGATCACAGATCACCTCAATCTTCTTTCATTAAGAATGGATAAATTAACACTTTCTTGGTCAAGATACACGCAAAATATTTCGTGATAGCTGAAGTGCATTTAGGAAGTCTGAAAATATATGATACTCAATTTAATAGTCAGTTTTGACCCATAGATGATTCTGTGTATCTGAGGACTTTGGAGTAATTACTCTTCTTTAGTCTTCAGTCTTTCTGTTGATTGTACACTGGTGAATTGAAGGTTGATCTGTATTGATTGATACAAGGGGCTTTAGGGTAGCCTATTTGTTAAAGCATTTGCTTGTCATGCCGTGTGAAGACCATTTCTGGTGTCCCCTGTTGTGATATTTCTGGAATAATGCAACTCGCTCACTCAGTATTGATGCAAATGGCTTCAAGTTATCTTCAGGTACTTGTTTTATGACTGACCAGATAAAGACTCCTGGTTTTTTTTCCTTCTGACAGGAAATAAGATCCAATATAAGAAATAAATTTGCCTTTTGTAGTTTTTGTTGGTAGAGCTGATGTTCCTGCTTGAGACTGTGTATCAGCATAAAATATCATTTCATTGCAGAGGAAGTACTCAGTGAAGATGTTATCCAGAAGTGGTACAAGGGAGGCCACTCTTCCAAGGGCAAGAGCACCTTCCTTGAGCAGATGAAGAAGTTTGTAGAATGGCTTGAGAACGCAGAAGAAGGTAGGGTCTCGTTGCTTGGAAAAATTAGGCTGAGTATGTACACTTGAGTAATATGGTACATCAGCTTGATGTTAAATGTGTTATTCTGTGTGTGTTATTTTTAGTCTTAATTGTTATACAATGTATAGGGATATAATGACGCACTTTGAAGCAGAACAATTCACTGTGCTGTCGGTAAGCACTTCAGTGTCAGTAAGCAGTGAGAGGATGGGCTGGTCTTTAAGTTAGGGCTGGGTCATTCAGCACCAGCTTTCTTCTTTTTGGTTTCATGAAAATGGCATTTTCAATAAACATTAGTTGCTTATGAATGTTTTCAGAATTAATATTGTCACTGGTAATATGTCAAGGACTAGTGAGGGAAGACGGGTATGTTCTCAAACTGAAAACTTGGGTTTGATTTCCCTTTTTATATAAACTATTCAGCCTATTTCTGGTGTCCCGAGCTGTGATTCTGCTGGTATATTGCTTGTAGAGCTATGTAGAACCATACTTGCCCACTCTGAGACTAGAGATTTAGCTGATATGTTTTGCCTTTCCAGAATCTGATGAGGAGGATGATTAATGCTGAATACAAGCATGATGGATACAAGGACAGATCTGCAGCTATGCACCAGGGATCTCTTGCTTTGATTCAAGTCTACCATTACTGCATGTTGATGCAGTGATGTTGTACACTGGACTCTGCCTGCTTTGACAAGGTTCCCAGCAGTCGTGCTACAGTCCTTCACTTCCTCACTATCGGCGTGTTCCCTGTTAGTACTGGTCCAAATCAGTCTGATTCAGTCTTCAAACATGTATGACCTATATAAATTGGAGAAATGTTGACATTTTGATATTTCACTGGACAGTTGCTGAATAAAGAACAAGTGGAAATATCCTGACTTTACGCAGTTCTTGTTTCGCTCTATATGTACATGTGTTATTGCCATGGCAACAGGTCATCAGAGAACATCCATGGGTTTGTGGAGAAGGATCCTTCTTCACCCAACTCTCCATCATGATCATGAATTTGGTCTTTCTCATGTATCTTGTTATGGTGGCTTTTATCATAGATGACTTTCTGATTTGTTGCAGACTGTCTTTTCAGTCCACTATTCAGTTCATGCTTTGCATCTTTAGAGAGATTGTCAAATGTTTGCCCTGTGCCGACCAGTGTCCACTAGTAATAGGTTTTGATAAATCTTTTTACTATATTAACTTGTTACATGTCTGACTATTTTTAATGAAATAACTACTGGAAAGTCTGATTCTGTACGTATAGTTTTTGTTGCAAGACTTGTGTACTGAAATGTTTTCAACATGACAAAAGGAAATGTGTTACTGAAGAATGTCTGCCTCAACATGGAATAAGACTGCAATAATATTTGATCAGTGTATTTTATCTTGCCAAAGATTGTCAGTTTTCTGAATTCTTCATGACTTGAAATACTTGTACATGTCTATGGCCAGTGTAATCTCTTTAGGGTGTTGATGATCATTGCATATACTCAAACAATTGTCAGTGTAAAATACCTCTGCTGCACGTTCTGGGTATAAAATGAACGCAAATATATTGTTTATGGTGGTGTTCACTCTTCACAGCAGATATATTACAAAGTTCTGAACTCCAGTTGTTAGCAGATGTAAATATTTGCCCTATTAGGGAGGTGTATGATTCTGTGCCTGGAACGTGTAGATGGCCGTGTTATCATTTCATTAAGTTAGTATATTTTTGTAAGGTCATCCACCCAACCATGGGCCCAGTAATGACTCGACTCAAGCAGCAACTCTGTGGCCTTCGAAACTTGTTACAAACTTTCGAAATATCGAAAGGAAAAAAAGTTACTCATCATTGGTGATATTGTTCGTGAACCATCAGTTGTCTATTTGTGACATGTTTTGTTTCATGTGTTAATTCAGTGGAGTTTGACGTTCATCACACGAGGAATGTGTAAATAAACATTATGAAAACATCTTATTCAGAGCTCATATTCAGACATTGGAAACATTGCCAGGTCATGTTAGAGATATATTGCCACATACCGATACGCCCAACATTGCATCTCTTGTCCCATCACATCACCATGTCCGAGCCGGTGTCAAAGCTAGCATGTAAAACACGGCATATATAAAGTGCAGCAATTCATTAGTTACTGAAACCTTCAGAATGCAAAGTCTAGTCAAGTCATTTCTGTGTTACAAACATAACATTTCCCAGCTTGATAGTAGCTGTGAATTAAAACAACATTGCTAGACCCTTTTCTTAATGTTTCAGTGACTTGTGTTAAGTTTTGGTGGCGGCCATTTTATCCTCCATGTGACGTCATCCTTTGATTCGGTGCCGACTCCCTGGCTCATACTTAACTGTCCGATCTGTTTTCTTTGTGATTGACGCTTACATCAAAATCATATAGTACTCAGTTATATGGTTGTATCACATGAAGTGTTTGTATGTTAAATAGTCACAATATTAGCTATTATACCCTGTGTTACAATATTTAACCATTCTTTTTGTTATGCAAACCCTCAGTTTTGAGGGTTTTGTGCACTGCCTGCACCCTTCATCCAATAAGTACACTGACTGTTGACCACTTGAGTATATATTTTGAAATCGTAACATGCCCGGAAAACAACTCCAGATGGGAAGATCATGTGACTTGGTCAGAGGCACTGTGGTACATAGTTGTTCTTTTTGTAAGAATTATGAAAATTTGTGAATAAAAATTATTAAAAATAGTTCTTTGGTTAATAATTATGTAAGCAACTTGTTAACCCACACGTTTGTGGTGATAAAAAGAAACTACAGATGTGGATTGAATCACAAGAAATAAAGCATTTGTATGAATACCAGCAACGTGTTTTGTATAAGGTTTTCTGTTTGCAAGTTAAAGCCCTGTTGGAATACACAGGGCTCAGTGTCCAGCGAAAGCTGAACGTTCTCGTGTATTATTTGTAAATGGATCATTCAGCTGCTGCAGTAAAACGTGACCTTTATCCAGAAAATACAAGTAGTGCATGCTACTCAAATTTGATAAAATGAATGTCAAGTGAGATACGTCAAACTGATTGGTTGGAGATGCTGTAGTGATAATGTGATTTATCCTAAGCTCTATTGCTTAAACGAAAGTAAACGTATGTCGTCTCCTAACTGTCGTAAAAGTGCGCGCTCCCGGTGTCCTTATCAAGAATTCTGTTCAGATTTACGTGCGAGTGACCTCACGAAACATTGTCAATTTTGGAGAGAGGGGAAGCCTATGTCCTACAAAGATTAGTCCCTTTCCCTTGAAACATCCGTTGTTTAATTATAAAATATGAACTAGATGTTGCGATATTTGGAGATTCTGTAACCATGCACGCACGCTCTCGTGCTTACTTTTTGGTCATGGTACACGGAATGTAATCTCAGTTGAATACCAGAACCCCAAAACATTAAGTTATATTTATTCCCCATCTGGATTCCCTAAATAAACACCCTTAAATCGCGTGCTGTATATAACATTGTCGGGCAATGCGGAAGGCGACTACTTGTTTTCAGCTTAGATCGGATTTTATCATGATTGCTCTTACATGGCGACGCGCATTCACGTGTCTGCTTGTACTTCGACTAATGCCAGTTTAGTCTCTCACAGACCCACTCATTTTCCCACCCGCTCAGCCCTTAATGCATTGCTAAAGCCGTTAATGAAGCAAGTCTAGATTTCATCAGGTTCTGAATCTACCAACTCACTGGGGCTCCTTTCCAGTTTGACCCGTGAAGGCCGGGTTAGAATGTACCTTCAGCAACCCATGCTTGTCGTAAGAGGCGACTAACGGGATCGGGTGGTCAGGCTCGCTGGCTTGGTTGACATATCATCGGTTCCCACTTGCGCAGATCGATGGTCATGCTGTTGATCACTGGATTGTCTGGTCCAGACTCGATTATTTACAGACCGCCGCCATATAGCTGGAATATTGCTGAGTGCGGCGTAAAACTAAACTCACTCCTTTCCAGTTTAAATGGAATTTAAGAAAGTTTATGGATAACAACTTCTTTATTATATATGATGCGACGTTTCAGTATGGATTCTTATACCGTTGTCAAGCAAGAGTGAAGTACTACAGCACAGAACAGACTTATATACATGAACAGGGATTAAGTAATAACAACATGTAGGACTGAATGAGGGGGATTAACAATAACAACAAGGCACGGTGGCGATAATGTAGTGACAATAGGAAGCCAATGGTGGTGGAGGTAAAAAACAAAATATACATGCTGATGAGATTAATTAACAATGATGGCTGAGGTGCTCTAATCTGTTGTTTTTATGAGATCATTGTATGCAGAAGGGATGAGATATCCCTGGTCTCTGTTGATTGAGGGCTTGTGTCTGCGGATTTGAACTGCTTCTGCAAGTTTCCTTTTGGTGAAGTCCTGGTGGTTTTGGATAATATCTCCACATTGTCCCAAATTATGTTGTGATCTCATCGCAAGCCTTTCACTGGCCCGGACACTTGTCGCTTTAATGTAGAGTTGCCTCCCTTAGGATGAGAATAGGCGCTGTGTGATGCTCTGCTTTGACTATCACAGAGCTACCAACTACTCTTGCCGTAACTTTTTACAGAACTCAAGCCTGATTTGGCTCAAAATTCATTCGGAGTTACTTAAGTCCCTAAAGCATTTACCTTAAACTACAGCATTTATTGAGATTGTATTTCAGAACCTATCAATCTCATTGCTGTGTAACATTAGCAAAAAAAAGCACAGCTAATTTGGAAAGTGAAAAGCACGAGTGAAATGTATTACTGACCTTCAGCCTTAATATTTTGACGTTACGTTTTTTGCTTGCTGGATTCGAACCCCCATTGTGAGTCTGCACAAGACTCTTCACACACACACACACACACACACACACACACACACACACACACACACACACACACACACACACACACACACACACACACACACACACACACACACACACATACACACACAAACCTTACTCTTGGAAACATTTCAGTCCATTGACTCTCTTCGCTTGTACTTCAGACACTGCGGAGTGCACACTGTTCTACTTCATGTTGGGGATATTTTTTATCTTTCCATGATACATAAAACGTATTCTCATAACATTTAAATATACTTGACATAGTATGTGATTATCAAAAGTCGAGTGGTAAATGCTGCTCCAAAGAAGTTAAAATCGTTTTCACGACTTATCCAAACTGTGGATGTTCTTTTACTTGTTTCGAGTAGTTGCAGCGAAAGTCTAGAATGATTGGCGTGTTTCTAGTAATCACAAGACGCTGATGATCATTTATAAGCTTTTATTCCCTTCTCCAATCGAATTGTGATCTTATGAAAAACTGTAGGTATACACATGAACGATATGATGTTGATATTTATGTACAGAACATGAATTAGGTTAGTATCATTGGGACACGTTACACTTGGACAACAAATCTGGCTTCAACAGTGATACTGCACTGAACACAGGTCGGCCGAACTGACCTTAATGGTGGCTAATTCTGTCACACATCCGTCTTGAAACGTGTATTGTATCGTTAGTGTCTGATATGATAATAATAATCATCTTTATACGCCCACGTGATATGGCTCGCGAATTGCTACACGCGATGCCAAACCAATCACTCACACAAAGACATAAAGATTCGGACAACACATCTCGTCCACCGTGTTACGGAAAGAAACAGCCTAGTTCAAACAGTCATCTGCCGAAGCCATCCGAGCGTCAAGTTCAAAGCTTGTGCTTCGGCGGCTGTTGTAAACTTGGTACCTTCTTGACTGAGGTAGTTAAATGTGGTGTTAGTATAAACTGGGGACGAAATTGTTACTGAGACTGTGAGCACGGCGAAGGTCCTGAAGGGGCATGTCTTGGCTCTCACTCTGCCATTATGGAACGGGCATTAAACTCTTACAAAAAACAAAACATATCAGACAAATAATTTTTACAAAAATATATTGCAAGACATAATTATATACAACACGAATGTTATGTACATGGTATAAACTTCAAGAAAACCACGTTGTCGCCAAACTTACAAAGTATGACGGCTTATCACATCGGTTTATCACAGTATGGCTGGCTGTCTGTTGCCAGAGCCCAGCTTCACCAATATCGTGTGTACAGGAATATAAAACAGTAGACTACTGGAACCCGCAGTGACATATACCTGGTGGAGAAATACAGGTGGATCAAAGCCAGGTTTGTCTGGATACAACATCAAGACCCTCTGTTTAGGCGATCTATCGTTCTATAATGTAACGGCACTCTATCAAAACAGTTTCATGCGCTCTCCTCCAAGGTACGGCGTCTAGGCACTAAATGAATGTACAGTGTCAAAGAACTCTTTCAAGACCCAATTTAAAGGCACTCTATCAAGACACAGTGTAAAGGCACTCTAACGACATACAGCTTCAAGGGACTCAATGAAGGCGCTGGGTTAAGGCACCCATCTGTTCACATTGCGGAAGGACCAAAAACATCATTGTATAAAATTTACAAATTATCTGTCATGTGACAGGATCTCATGAATTAGAAATCTAGAAGTTCTCAAAGTGGTGTTCAAACAAAGCTTTGGTCATCTTGCTGGAGTCCACACATGCCCGCTCCACGCCCTTCGTTACACCAGGAGGCCCACAGCTGAACACGCCCACTTTCTTTACCTAGAATACAAGCACATGGGTATGTATACATTCTTCCCCAGCAAAAACCCCTAAGGAAATAGAGGAGACTTACTACTGACCTTGATGACATTACAACAATAAGTAACTCGAAAAGGGGACGGCTAGTCTCCATGATGCTACAATGTGTTGTGAAGAGTTGCGTCCCTTACATTAGCTCGATCACATTGATCTTGGCTTTGAAAAACAAATTCGATGTGATAATATTTTTAAGTTTGTAGGCACCATGGATTTCATCAAAATCGTAAACGTATAGGACCATAATAATTTCGGGCTTTTCTCCCACGTGAATCAGGCATGTCATGATATAGCGTGAAATTACAACACTGTGTAAGAAACTTGTCGTTCACTTATTATTGCCTTTCCTATTGGATAAGTAGACACACGAAATCGGGTCGTACCTGTGGATGGGCGCGGTGTACAGCGTTCATGATCTTGTTGAGTTGTGGTCGTCCGAAGTGTGTGGTGGCCTTCAGCCCTGTGAACACACTCTTTCCCCCTGTCATCTTCTGGAAGTGCTCCTCGAATATGTACTGTAAGAGATTTAATATTAATGGATTACGGAAAGCATTAACGGAGAGTTTCCGTACAGTCATGTGATTTAGGTTAACTCCGAAACCCGAGTCTGATTCCGGATATATGGCTCAGTGGGCTAGATCGCTGACTGTGACTCAACATAACAAAGTATCATTAACTGTACTTCTACTGTGTAAGTGTGAGCCGTAATATAACATATGCTATATATGACCACTTTCTAAATGGGATTGTGTATTCATAACAGAATGTATCCATTTGTGTATGCTACAAGCGGCGTTAAACATCACTCACTACATTGTGGTATAGGTCAGAACAGACTCACCAGCATGGCCGTCCTGAGGTCGAAGTTCTGGAAGAACTGTGTGATGAAGATGTCAATGGATACCATGCCCATCGTGTCGATCTCTTCCACCTCCCGCAGGATGTCGATCAACCACTCGAAGTGACGCTGGCTGCCCGTGATCCAGATGAAATACAGCTGTAACACATAAACCCTGATATCTTAACTGAACCCGTGGACACACATCTAAACAATGTCATCGGCCAGTATGCTGAACCAGTATACCAAATACATCGACGACGTCATCCCATGAAACAGAACGATACAACCACCAAACAGCTAGACATACGCCAACGATGTCATCCAGTCGAACAGGTTGCGAGGAAATAGTATATGTGATTTTACTTCTGAAATACATTTTTATTCCATGATTTACCGAAACAGATTTGGCGTAAAACCAAAAAGGGTGATGGAAATCATAGATATGGATTGTTATGAATGTGACCATTTGACCTGTCCAGACAAGGAACTCCCTAGGTGTTCCTCTAGTCTAAAACAGCTAGAATCAGTATGTGTGGGTTGCTAGGTTACAGTATGTGTGGGTTGCTAGGTTACAGTATGTGTGGGTTGCTAGGTTACAGTATGTGTGGGTTGCTAGGTTACCTTCTGGCACTTGACCTTGTACATGCTTCTGATGGAGGACATGTGGACGAAGTCTTTGAGGATGGAGGCGTAGGGCGTGACTCCGATGCCGGCCCCCACCAGGACAGACACCTCGTACTGGTACCAGTCCTGCTGTCCAGCACCATAGGGCCCGTCCAGATACAGCTAGACACACAGACAGACACATATAGTCACATACTCAAGCTGTCCACATGAATATTTCAGGGATTGTGCGACACTACATTGCAGATATTCATTGCTTGCTGTCGAGGGAATAGTGTATTGTATACCATTGAGAGATTACTACATATCATACAGAAACTTACTGTACATCAATGAAGAACGTACTTTTTGTAACGGATTAACGTAATGCATAGTATTAACAACGCACCGTTGGTCATTAAGGAAAGTACTACATGTATATATCATATCTCTTAGCAACGTACTGCGTATTATTTGGAAATTCCGAAAATACTCATTTCAGCGAGCTCGATCCCAAAACAGTGTACATGTTTACACAACGTTACTCTTGGTCCGTCATTGACGTAAATTTACGAAGAAATGGGGTACCTTCAGGAGTGGGTTGTATTTGAAGTAACTGAGTACATGATCTATCCATCTGGTTTATTACTCACCTTCAGGAGTGGGTTGTATTTGAAGTAACTGAGTACATGATCTATCCATCTGGTTTATTACTCACCTTCAGGAGTGGGTTGTATTTGAAGTAACTGAGTACATGATCTATCCATCTGGTTTATTACTCACCTTCAGGAGTGGGTTGTATTTGAAGTAACTGAGTACATGATCTATCCATCTGGTTTATTACTCACCTTCGGGAGCGGGTTGTCCTTAAGGGTCTGGGCGTCAAATGTCTGCCGGATGTTCCATGTCCATGGTCCCAGTGCCCGGATGTGCAACTTGAGTGTGTCCTCGTGGGGCGCCGATGTAAGTGTGAAGGGGTGGTACTCGTCCTTGCCCTGGGAGAGGCAGGCAATCCGTACCCACTGTCCTGACTTGTACTCGAACTTGGACGGACGTTTGAACTCAAGCATCGTTACGTCTGATGAAGGACATAGAGTGAGAGCTAAGGATCACATTCTGAACACGTTTTATGACATTTGTGTATATATGGGACACCACAATAATACATGATTGGACATTGACTTGCAGGTGGTAAATAGTTAACTTGGAAGCCAAATATTTCTTACAATATACCCCTGGTGACCCGTGAAGACCCGAGATTGAGATTTGTTCCTGCAACATCTTATAAAAAGCGACCAACCGGATCGAATGGGGTCACGACAATCATTGTATGGTTCAGAGTAAACTGTTTACAAACTGCTATCAACAAGCTGGAATGTTGCTGAATGCGGCATCAAACAACAAATAAATTGAAAGGATGAACACATTTAGTTGTAAGTCTAAAGCAGGTGTCGAAAGCAACAGCGCAAAGAGCAGGGCCCAGTTCCGCAAAACGATCGTGGCGCTATGTTAAAGTATGGGAGTTACGATCTTCTTAGCGCTACGAACGGGCCCTGGTATGTAGACAAAGGAAGAATATAGGCAGCAGATGATACAAGATAGCAGATCAGCTACTGTCGAGGATACTCGCTATTCGATATGCATTCTTATCAGCAGTATTCTAAGACATCATTATTCACAGACTTGTTCAGAAACGGTATTTAGAAACAGAATAACCTGGTATACGGATTTATGAAAGATGGGATTATTCAGAACGAAACATATTTCGGAGATATGTATTCAGGAAATCACATTTTAAAGAAAATAATGTTCTTGAGTAAGGGACAATATACACGAAGCAGACGATAGGAACACGGTGAGATGTAATAATATACACGAAGCAGACGATAGGAACACGGTGAGATGTAATAATATACACGAAGCAGACGATAGGAACACGGTGAGATGTAACCCAGTCTCATTCAATTGTGGTCATTTTACTCCGATACAATATACTCTACGTCAAGATCTGAAAGCAACTCCTGAGGAGCTCGGGTCAGGTATCGGAGTGAAATATAGGGTCTTGACCAGGTTGGACGTTACCTGAGGGGAGGTTCTGTGCTCGGACGATGCTGATCTGGACCTTCTTCCGGCTGAGACTGACCATCTTGTCGATGGTGAACAGCACCGCGGGACCGACGAAGTAGGCGTAGAATAAGGGCTTCTGGACGATGACGGACGCTCCGTGGAGGATGACGAGGACGTACATGATGATGAACAGTTTGTGTGTGAGCCAGAACAGGTTGAAGATGTGTCGGCGAGCCGTCTGGGTGGCAAACACGTACATGATGCACAGCACAACCACCAGAAGGACACCAGTAAACCCTGGAGCAGAACACAGGCTACAGGTGATACTGGGCAAACATGGGGTGGATGTTATTTCAGAATAGCCAAAACTTTCATTTTGTATCCGAAACGACTGGTGTTATTAACATCAGTTTATAATACTAAGCATTTCATGTACTGGCTACAACACAGAGGCTAACAAACCTGTGATTAATAATATGAGCACAAATCTGTGGACTACTCTAATTTATGTGTATGTACGGCAGTCTGTGTGAAACTGACAGTATGTTTGTATGTACGGTAATCTGTTTGCAGCTATGGTGGTACGTTGTATGTACGGTAATCTGTGTGAAACCATGGTAACATGTATGCAGCTATGGTGGTACGTTTGTATGTACGGTAATCTGTGTGAAACCATGGTAAGATGTATGTATGTACGATAATCTGTGTGAAACTATGGTAAGATGTAAGTACGATAATCTGTGTGCAGCTATGGTAAGATGTATGTATGTACGGTAATCTGTGTGAAACTATGGTAAGATGTATGTATGTACGGTAATCTGTGTGAAACTATGGTAAGATGTATGGATGTACGGTAATCTGTGTGAAACTATGGTAAGATGTATGTATGTACGGTAATCTGTGTGAAACTATGGTAAGATGTATGTATGTACGGTAATCTGTGTGAAACTATGGTAAGATGTATGTATGTACGGTAATCTGTGTGAAACTATGGTAAGATGTATGTATGCACGTTAATCTGTGTGAAACTATGGTAAGATGTATGTATGTACAGTAATCTGTGTGAAACTATGGTAACATGTATGGATGTACGGTAATCTGTGTGAAACTAGGGTAAGATGTATGTATGTTCGGTAATCTGTGTGAAACTAGGGTAAGATGTATGTATGCACGGTAATCTGTGTGAAACTATGGTAAGATGTATGTATGTACGGTAATCTGTGTGAAACTAGGGTAAGATGTATGTATGTACGGTAATCTGTGTGAAACTAGGGTAAGATGTATGTATGCACAGTAATCTGTGTGAAACTAGGGTAAGATGTATGGATGTACGGTAATCTGTGTGAAACTATGGTAAGATGTATGGATGTACGGTAATCTGTGTGAAACTATGGTAAAATGTATGTATGTACGGTAATCTGTGTGAAACTAGGGTAACATGTATGTATGTACGGTAATCTGTGTGAAACTAGGGTAAGATGTATGTATGTACGGTAATCTGTGTGAAACTAGGGTAAGATGTATGTATGTACGGTAATCTGTGAGAAACTAGGGTAAGTCGATGTATGTACGGTAATCTGTGTGAAACCATGGTAAGATGTATGTATCTGTGAAACTAGGGTAAGATGTATTGATGTACGGTAATCTGTGTGAAACTAGGGTAAGATGTATGGATGTACGGTAATCTGTGTGAAACTAGGGTAACATGTATGTATGTACGGTAATCTGTGTGAAACTAGGGTAAGATGTATGGATGTACGGTAATCTGTGTGAAACTAGGGTAAGATGTATGGATGTACGGTAATCTGTGTGAAACTAGGGTTAGATGTATGGATGTACGGTAATCTGTGTGAAACTATGGTAAGATGTATGGATGTACGGTAATCTGTGTGAAACTAGGGTAAGATGTATGGATGTACGGTAATCTGTGTGAAACTAGGGTAAGATGTATGGATGTACGGTAATCTGTGTGAAACTAGGGTAAGATGTATGGATGTACGGTAATCTGTGTGAAACTAGGGTAAGATGTATGTATGTACGGTAATCTGTGTGAAACTATGGTAAGATGTATGTATGTACGGTAATCTGTGTGAAACTATGGTAACATGTATGGATGTACGGTAATCTGTGTGAAACTAGGGTAAGATGTATGTATGTACGGTAATCTGTGTGAAACTAGGGTAAGATGTATGGATGTACGGTAATCTGTGTGAAACTAGGGTAAGATGTATGTATGTACGGTAATCTGTGTGAAACCATGGTAAGATGTATGTATGCACGGTAATCTGTGTGAAACCATGGTAAGATGTATGGATGTACGGTAATCTGTGTGAAACTAGGGTAAGATGTATGGATGTACGGTAATCTGTGTGAAACTATGGTAAGATGTATGTATGTACGGTAATCTGTGTGAAACTAGGGTAACATGTATGGATGTACGGTAATCTGTGTGAAACTAGGGTAAGATGTATGGATGTACGGTAATCTGTGTGAAACTAGGGTAAGATGTATGTATGTACGGTAATCTGTGTGAAACTATGGTAACATGTATGTATGTACGGTAATCTGTGTGAAACTAGGGTAAGATGTATGGATGTACGGTAATCTGTGTGAAACTAGGGTAAGATGTATGGATGTTCGGTAATCTGTGTGAAACTAGGGTAAGATGTATGGATGTACGGTAATCTGTGTGAAACTAGGGTAAGATGTATGGATGTACGGTAATCTGTGTGAAACTAGGGTAAGATGTATGTATGTACGGTAATCTGTGTGAAACTATGGTAAGATGTATGGATGTACGGTAATCTGTGTGAAACTAGGGTAAGATGTATGGATGTACGGTAATCTGTGTGAAACTAGGGTAAGATGTATGTATGTACGGTAATCTGTGTGAAACTAGGGTAAGATGTATGTATGTACGGTAATCTGTGTGAAACTATGGTAACATGTATGGATGTACGGTAATCTGTGTGAAACTAGGGTAAGATGTATGGATGTACGGTAATCTGTGTGAAAACTAGGGTAAGATGTATGGATGTACGGTAATCTGTGTGAAACTAGGGTAAGATGTATGGATGTTCGGTAATCTGTGTGAAACTAGGGTTAGATGTATGGATGTACGGTAATCTGTGTGAAACTAGGGTAAGATGTATGGATGTACGGTAATCTGTGTGAAACTAGGGTAAGATGTATGTATGTACGGTAATCTGTGTGAAACTATGGTAACATGTATGGATGTACGGTAATCTGTGTGAAACTAGGGTAAGATGTATGGATGTACGGTAATCTGTGTGAAACTAGGGTAAGATGTATGTATGTACGGTAATCTGTGTGAAACTAGGGTAAGATGTATGTATGTACGGTAATCTGTGTGAAACTATGGTAACATGTATGGATGTACGGTAATCTGTGTGAAACTAGGGTAAGATGTATGGATGTACGGTAATCTGTGTGAAACTAGGGTAAGATGTATGGATGTACGGTAATCTGTGTGAAACTAGGGTAAGATGTATGGATGTACGGTAATCTGTGTGAAACTAGGGTAAGATTATTCTACCTGTCATGTTGCCGAACAGCCAGAAGGTGAAGGTCGGTAGGGCCTCAGCGCGGAGGACGATGCTGTCGAAGATGCACAGGAAGCGGGTGGGTTGTGTTGCAAGGCTGTAGAAGTTGAAGCTGTAGCCGATCACATGGACAGCTGGCAAAGAAAGAAAAATCATGTCACAAAACAAGACTAACAGGGCTTCTGAATAGTTTCGGAAACGATTCAGGTTACACATTAATTAAATTGATAAATGTCGATAAAACAATAAAGCCATCTGGTTGCTGGCAGCCATCCTTACATTCCAGTCACGACATAGACTTCTGAGTCCAAAACTCCTCACATTCTATACACCCTGCTTTGTGGTCAAAATACTATTAACATGGGGTGCCGAGCTGACGTTGAGTTCAGCTCTGTGGCCTCGCGAATGATTCAGGTTTTACATTACGTCATTCCAGGCGTAGGTCCGGGGATGTCGAGAATATTCATCCTTCGTTCTACCAAAATCAGGAATCGAACGCGTAAAGCGAACGGTTTAACCGCCAGGCCACCCCGCCACGTGTCTAAGAGTCTTTCTGTTTTCTGACATGACCTACCTGAGAAGAACAGCGCTGTCCAGGCGACGACCTTGTGGAAGGAGACCATGGAGTCGAAGGGGATGAAGAAATTGAGGAAGGTGCTGCGAAGGAAGGTGATAGTGTTGCGACACATCGTCAGTAACAGCAGCGAGAATGTGAACGACATCGCGGCGGCAGCTCCTCGTGTCATGCTGATACCGTAGCTCATGAGTTTCCGGAGTCCGCTCTGCTCCCTCTGTACTGTGTAGACTGTGGGGAGACGGGAGCTATTGTACAGGATCTCAACGTATATAGTGCTCTATTGAAACCATGTTTACAGGCGAAGAGCATCCAAGAACAACTTAATTAATGATGCATTATTTCACGCAATAATTATTGCTATATTTTCTGTCAGAGGGGCAATGGATTTGTTATGTATGGAAATGTGTGACACATACAAAGTTTTGAGAAATGTGTCAATTGTCGCACGTTTCACACAGAAAATATAGCAGCCTACTACCCACCCGAATCCAAACCCCCGACTCAATGATCATATGCGTGCCAGTCGCGACGCTAATAATTATTTGATAACATAAGAATATATTCACGAAATGGAAATACAGATGGGGTCGGCAATATTCTACCTAATGTTCATCGAACTGTTTTCATCTGGAAGGTCCTGAGAAATAGTAAGCGATATCGTATACTCTGGCCGGAAACATGGTTTCAAAGACAAAGACCAGATATTACGGTGATAATAATGTAGTGGTAGGTGTGTAAAGCTCATTATGTAAGTGGGTTTTCTCCAGCAACTATTTAGTAAACTCTCAGGAAACCATTAATGCAGTGCAGATGTTTAAGTGGAATCTTAAGCAACTGTGAATTCAGCTTTTTAAGTGGACACTCAAGTACATGTGAATACGGCTATTTAACTACACTCTCAAGCAGCTGTGAATACAACTATTTAAGTACACTCTCAAGTAACTATAAATTGAGCTATTTAAGTGGACACTCACGCAATTGGAAATTCAACCAATTTTGTTGACTCTCAAACAACTGTGTATTCGGGTATTTAAGTGCACTCACAGTAGAATCTCTCCGCAGCCAGCCCTAAGATGATGCCAAAGAACATGACGAGGAAGAAGATGTGAGCTCTGTAGTTCTCAACGAAATGCTTAGCCATCTTGATCTTGGCCTTGACCGGAGTGTACTTCTCGCGGACGGCCGTGAAGCTCCGTCTAGAGGTTGGTGAGGTGATGGAATCTGTGCTGGACTGACTTCCTGACGTTTGGTGGGAATTTGTGCGCTGACGGATGTCAGAATCGCTCCTGTGAGTAGATCCAAAGCAATTTGAACAAAACATAATGTGCCCCTGCCGCTCGCTACCCTCAACACGTGATCAAAGAAGACATTTTATCATTATATTCCTTTGTAATCTCAGATGTAATTAGTGATGTGGATGGAATGACAAATACTTACTTCGCTTTGTGATTACTCTTGTCATTGGGCAAGCAGTTCTTGATTCCTGAAACATAACCAGGCAAAGTTCATCAACAAGTTACGTGACATACAAGGCCGGATGAATATAGCCTGTACTATTTGATCAGATCACCACCTACAGGCAGTAAGATAAGGTCTACCACTTGTCCTACCAACCTTTCCAGTCGATGGAGGCTCCCCACAGCATGTCCATCTGGGGAGACAGGATCTGGCAGAAGTCTTCAAACCGGAAGTTCTCCTTATCAGTGAGTCCCGCCTGGACGGACAGAGACTCCACCAGCTGCTCAACCTCGTCGCTCTGCAGGTTGCTCTGTGCCAGATCAAGCAGCGATCTGGAGTGAGTGAGTGAGTAAGCGGATGAGTAAGTGAGATTTACAAAAACACCGTCACAGATGCACCAAGGCAAAGGACAATATAATGTGAATTCATCAATAGCATCTTGACATTGATTCGGGTCTTGAATCAGTAGACAACCCTGAAACATCCCATACACTATACACATGGCCCTTACAGTATGGACTCCTTATTCTTTTCTTTAACACTGGAAATGTTAAGTATTTGGATGTATGTCAGTTTGTTTTTAGCCTATTTCTCGAGTTATAATAATTTATCGAATAATTTATCGACAAGCCATTTGTTGTCGTAATTTGGCGTACCTGAACATCTGACAGATTTCTTTTTTGGTCATCACGCCGCTGCCGTCCATGTCGTACATGTAGAACATTGTCTGTAGCTTGTCCTGGCACGTCCCTGTGGGTGGAGGTGTCATTAAACTATACGGATATACTACAGACACTGTTTTGGGGGTGATCATCATACTCACTAGCATTGAAAACACACCACTTACACAAGTTGAGATTACTAAAGCACACGCAAGCAATTGATAGTTTTTTTAGTGGATAATAACAGATATAATATAAGCTCGATACACTGTAGGCATGGCTTTAAGGTGAACGACAGATTTAATTTAAATACATGTAAACCGGATGTACTATTGACACATCTCTGAGATAAACGACAGGTGTCATATAAATACATGTAAACCGGATGTACTATTGACACATCTCTGAGATAAACGACAGGTGTCATATAAATACATGTACATGTAAACCGGATGTACTATTGACACGACCCTGAGGAGAACGACAGGTGTCATTTAAATACATGTAAACAGAATATACTGTTGACACGACCCTGAGGAGAACGACAGGTGTCATTTAAATACATGTAAACCGGATATACTGTTGACACGACCCTGAGGAGAACGACAGGTGTCATTTAAATACATGTAAACCGGATATACTGTTGACACGACCCTGAGGAGAACGACAGGTGTCATTTAAATACATGTAAACCGAATATACTGTTGACACGACCCTGAGGAGAACGACAGGTGTCATAAAAATACAAGTAAACCGGATATACTATTGATACGACCCTGAGGAGAACGACGGGTGTCATTTAAATACACGTAAACCGGATATACTATTGATACGACCCTGAGGAGAACGACAGGTGTCATTTAAATACATGTAAACCGGATATACTATTGACACGACCCTGAGGAGAACGACAGGTGTCATTTAAATACATGTAAACCGGATATACTGTTGACACGACCCTGAGGAGAACGACAGGTGTCATTTAAATACATGTAAACCGGATATACTGTTGACACGACCCTGAGGAGAACGACAGGTGTCATAAAAATACATGTAAACCGGATATACTATTGATACGACCCTGAGGAGAACGACAGGTGTCATTTAAATACATGTAAACCGGATATACTGTTGACACGACCCTGAGGAGAACGACAGGTGTCATTTAAATACATGTAAACCGGATATACTGTTGACACACGACCCTGAGGAGAACGACAGGTGTCATAAAAATACATGTAAACCGGATATACTATTGATACGACCCTGAGGAGAACGACAGGTGTCATTTAAATACATGTAAACCGGATATACTGTTGACACGACCCTGAGGAGAACGACAGGTGTCATTTAAATACATGTAAACCGGATATACTGTTGACACGACCCTGAGGAGAACGACAGGTGTCATAAAAATACATGTAAACCGGATATACTATTGATACGAGGTAAACGACAGGTGTAATTTAAACATTATACCAAATATTCCATAAGAAACACGTCCCATGTGTGAGGAGGGATGGCTGCAGGGAAACACACAATTCCAGGGATGGGGGAGTAGAATAAAGACATACCTTTTGAGAAGAGCACGACAGCGTTAAGGAACTCCCTGAATGAGATGTAGCCGTTCCGGTCGGAGTCGATGAGGCAAAAGAAGTGCTCCACGAAGTCGGAGTCGGCCTTCACTGCAAGAGCTTCGGCAAATTCCTCCTAAAAGGGTGGAGTAAATGGAGGATTGAGTGAGTGAGGAGGAAGGTAACGTGCTTCATGGTTCATCCACCTTAATTACAAAAGACATTGCTGCAGTGGATCATCCTACGAGTAAGGGTCGATGTGGTAGCTTAGTGGTTATAGCGTTCGCTCGTCACACACTAGACCCGGGTTCCATTCCCCACATGGGTAGAAAGCGTGAAGTCCATTCCGAGTAACTCGGGTATAGATTGCTTGAATAGTACTAAAAAACATCATTCGAAGACGTTGGGTGACAAGGGCGACCCAGCCGTCTTAGACGACGCATTTCACTGTACAGAGTCGTGTTTCCCTGGACTCGTCAAAAAGCTATGACCTTGGCCTTGAAACCCGATTCTATATTTGTCAGCACCATACACGTGCTCGTGGGTTTCACCACAGTGGTAAATATCAAACACCAGCGTCAGGTGAAGCTTTCCTAACGCACCATGCTGAAGGGCCGTGATATAACAGGGATACTGTTCAAAGCGGCTATAAACACAAAGTACACACTCACCTCCCAGACTTACAGAACGTGATGACCAGTGCCTAGATTTTCGAAGCTCTCTTAGCGCTAAGATAGTCGTAAGTTAATGTTATTGTATGGCACTTACGACGATCTTAGCGCTAAGAGAGTTTCGAAAATCTAGGCCCAGGTCCGGAGGAGTGGGTAACAAGATACCTACCTTAGAGAGTTCACAGTGGAGGATCTCCTTGGTCTGTTTCTTCAAGTCCAGCTGAACATGGTCCAGTGACGGGTCATAGTCCATCTGGAACGCCTGGAAAGCAGAAACAGGCACCCGGGCTAAGTTCCACGATCTTATTCATTAACAAAACATTTACTTCGGGACAGACGGAGATCACTTTGTGGAACGGGAGAGTTTTTACCTTTAGGTAGTAGCATGGAACTGTGAATTATCTCTAACACAAACTTACGAGGAGGGAAATATTAAGACTATTGACTATTTAATACCTAGAAATTCTGTTATAGTCAACAACAAACAAGCGAATATAACGACCTGTTATCTTTTGTCTCTTCCACTTGCTACATGTTTTAAAACTAGTGGCGCCTTTGAGTTCCATATAACCGTACTGTAAAAATAAATATACTGTATAACATTATTACCTCCGCAAAGACAGTCTTAAAGAACTTCTCCAACTGTGCGTTCCTCTTGGTTTTCGTCATGGCCATGTCGTACAGCTCCTTCACCGACATCTCCTGCACCACGAACTCGGCACTGTAGCTGGTGAGGTAGTCGGCGAGACTCTGCTCGAACTCGTTCCGGTGGACCTCGCTGGGGAACTCAAGCACCTGCCACAGGCGGTGGATTAGGGTATACCTCCTTTATACTACATATACATGATCCCAGGACAGAGAGTGTCATGGCTTTATGTGATACATAGGTGAAACATATCGGGGGTAGGGGGTGGTTGATGCATGGTGCATGAAGGATGCATATCGTGGTTCAGGACATTGTGCATGGACAGTACAAGGAACTGCCATTATCAGAAATACTTCGGTTTGGAGCCCACGATGAGCAGATCCTGGCATGACTAAGATACGCAACTCTGCAGTGAATTACGGAGCTTCCCGTCTTTCCGTGATATGATAGTGTATTGGCAGGGGCATTTGAGACTTGAGACTCTTGTCTCATAATTAATACTGTAGTCATGTACATACGCGGCGAGGTATGATACAAGCGAGTCCGGTAATTCTGCGCAGCTGCAATAGCGTACTTCCGTATCAAGGTAAACATCGTCTGCTACCACATTTACGCTTGATATCGGGGCATTTCTACAAGGGACTGGCTTTTAATCACTAAATGTAAGTAAATAACAGTAACTGACAGATAAATTGACAGTTTTATGAAAATTAGTTTTTTATCGCACTTTTAAACCTTTTTCTTCATTATTCATAATTGGATTTAATATTAAACACTCTTCCTTACATTGATGAAGTGATTTTTGAAAATAATCTGGCCCTAATACGCTTCCATACTTCGGATCTCCAGCTGGATGTTATGCGCATCAGTTGCTGCGCAGAGTTACCGGACAGCAAGCGATGTCGTCAGAACGTCAACCGTATGGCATAATGCAACGTTAAAATCTTATAGTCGTCAATAAAACTTATATTTCTAGGTAAATATGATGCATACCAGCATGTTTAGTCACGTAAACCACAAAAAATAAGAGACGTTAGTTGCCGTGTTGCGATCGATGTGCTTATGTGCGCGGAATTACCGGTCGGCATTGTATATCTGACGTTTACACACTTGACGGGGTATAACATATCTGGTATTAATTTGAATGCGTTTTCTTACCAAGTCGTATTCTTTGGGTACATGGATCATGAAGACGTTGCGCCCCTGTTGTTGCTGATGCTGATGTTGATGATGCTCATCTTGAGGAGCTTGATGGTCCTGAGATGTGTCCCCTCCGTGCTAAACACCTCCAGCGTTTCCTTGGAAGTAAGATGGAGCTCCACACAGCGTCCGGCCGCATCCTTCCCGCACCACTCCTGAGTCTCGTGAACTATACACAGGATATGGCATTATTGCATGGGTGTACTTCATCATAGGAGTGAGTGAGTTTAGTTTTACGCCGCACTCAGCAATCTTCCAGCTATATGGCGGCGGTAAATAATCGAGTCTGTACCAGACAATCCAGTGACCAACAGCATGATCATCTATCTACGCAACTGGGATACGATGAAAATGTGTCAACCAAGTCAGCGAGCCTGACCACCCGATCCCCGTTAGTCGCCTCTTATGACAAGCATGGGTTACTGAAGATCAATTCTAACCAGGATCTTCACGGGTCTACTTCATCAAGGAATTTACCTATATGATACTGCTCTCTGCAACACACAAGATCTATTCTAATTGGGTATTACACGTAGCAAGGAATGGTTCGGAAGTGGAACTTCACTTGAACACATCCCCCAAATCGGTGCCAATGTCGGTATGTCCACGTGTGTCACATAACACCTGAATTCCGAGAAGGCTAGTACATACAACAATTATGAGTGAAATATGTGAAACATCAGCCCAACGAAGAAACATCACTAATACAAATGTCCGTCACTAATATATGACGTCATAATGTTTTACCTCATACAATGGATGAACAAGGTAGAGATCGATTCCACCTTCAGACACGTGCGACAAAAAACAACAAAACCAAAACAAGATATATGCTTATATTCCAGTTATAAACTGACGTACAACAAAAAATACAAAAAATTTTTGCGGGTTATTTTCCAAAAAGCAAAGTAGAAGTTACAATCATTATGTACATGTTTCCAAAAGGCTTTCTTTTGTACGCCACTTCAGTAAAATAGTGAAAAACAATCAAGGATAGAAAACTAATTGATATTTTTTTAATAATGAAATATGTTACATTTATTCATAGCGGCGTCATCTCAAAACACTGATTAATGACTGATATGAAATGTTAATTCATTTTGAAGATTCTTAAGCGTTTAGCCTTGTATCAGGTACTGTTTATCATACAACACAAATACATGAAGCAAGTCTGGATAACCACTTTCACTTCAAATACTGACGGTGCAAAGCGAAATACTGTCGACTGAAAGCAAGTTTTGTTGGATCAGCGACACGGTGCTGTATATGAAAAGCAGCAATTGCAAGAACGGGGACTACAAATAGGCCACACCAAACCGACAACGGTGCATCCGTTGTCAACGCCTCACACAGCAGACTCGTCTACAGAATTTGCAGCGTAATGCCAGGCAGTGTTATGGTAAAAATCAGTGTTGTTTATGAAAACGCCTTTTTCAATTTATCAGTGACGTCATAATCAAGTTATCGTGAGTATTAAGTATGATGTGAGTATTCCAGTATTATGCCTGGAGGAACGGCTCTCTTGTGACCTTATTATAAGGTATGATCTTGTTTAACTAAATACTGTGCATGTGGTGTATGAAATATTAATGTGTATGTTAGGTGCTGAATAAAAATGGTAACGTTTTAATTGATATACATCCATATGTGTGTGTGAAAAAGTTACTTGTTTGTTATAGAACGTGTATTGTGCACAAAATAAGCTGAAATTACTTTTTGTTTCATCTGTAAACAAAATAATGAAAAACATGATGTATGATGTCTCAAAGAATAAAATACACCCTCTAAAACATCAGAACAACACGTAAAGATACTCTAATCAGACTAACACGATTAGTCTACCAAAATACAAACTAGGTTAAAACTGACTACTCATAAAAAAGAAATAAACACACAAAGTTAATAACATCTTTGAGCCATAACAAAATATTATTTCTCCGGAAGGTCATTTTCTTTTTCTCTTTCAGTTTTCTGAGCAGGAACTTGTTTGAGGACTTCTTGGAAGCCTCTCTCTGCTGAATAACTGTAACTCTCCAAACGTAGAACTTAAGCACCCCTTACGCTGATTTTGAAATATATTCCGAAGTTAAACATATTTTTTGTAGTGGTCCAAAAGTTTCATCGTGGTTATTTTTTGTGAACAAAATCATTGCAAAAAGTTAAGCACTGATAATGAAGTGGTCCCTGACGTGTCTGCTTGACGTACCTGACACACTGGACGACAGGGTACGCCGCAGGATCCTCTTCCTCTCCTTCTCCTCCCTAGCGTCCTTGACCCTCTTCAGGTGACGCCATTTCTTGCACTTTGCCAGAACATAGGCCACAAGAATGCATGCTGTAGACATAGGGATGACTCAGGTCAGAACAGGTTTGTGATGAAAGTACTGTTTTGCTGGAATATTCACTTTTTATATGTAATTCTCCAAGGTCTGTTACAGGTACCGCATATTGGGTTTGCTCTTACGCTGAGACCATATATTTGATCAAACACATTCGCAATGTTTACATGGCGATAGAGGGTCCATATATAGGCATATTACTGTAGAAAATCAACAGAATTATATGTCTTTTCCATTTTGTATAATACCCTGGACATATCAGCAGCATTACCTTCGTTTCGGAAGAAACGTCTCCATTATTATCGGCCCTATCTGTAGCCTCGCACAAATCAATTCTAGCACTTGATCTTGCTATTTGAATCGGACTCAAAATGAAACTCTTGTCTCGGGTATTGTTCATATTAAGAGATCAGGGGTCGTATCTGAGCCAATTATTATGTGTAGGCAAAACGTTTAGAATGCAATTATTATAATTTATACGTACATATCCATGCTTTCAGCATGTTGAAATACATTCACCTGTAACATTTTTCTTTCAAATTTATAATTTCCTGTTTTTAATAAAAAAATTACAAAATTATGTGTAGGCAATTGCCTTTTTGCCTATATGGCAGCTACGCCAGATATAATGGAAATTGAGAGATACAACGCACTGGGAAATCGAGGCATTCAATGCTGAGCCTAAATATGGAACATATGACGTCACCTAGTGGTATAACTCCTATACAGGTCCAGATGATGATGTAAGGTATTTCACTTCCGGTGAAGAAGTTGTAGCCCTTGTGCGCAGGACAGGCGCCGAGCATGCTGGAGTTCAACAATGTGAGCACAGGGCAGGGGTCATCTGAAATACAATGTTCCGTTATAGACATGACACACAACTACACTTATGATGTTGCTGAAACTGACTAGAGTTGTGACAGCATACACTAATTGCTTTGTGCAAAACTCCGGAAATGTCTTGAACTTGAAACTTCACAATGCAATTACATAACTGCTCAAAACATATCTTCTAGACTGACATATATTATAAGGAAAGTACACGGTATAAATACCTGTAATGTAAAACTAATGTATGTACTAGAATATCCCCAGTGACTGTCTGTGTATGCACGTGTCTACATGTGTTTACAGCGGGTACTGTCTGTATGTAGTTATGTGTTTGCAGGCAGTGATTTTGTACTAACTGTCTGAGAAGGTGAAGACGTCCTGCTGGATTTCGTCCTCCATTATCTTAGTGGTGTTGACGATGATGTCGTACATAGTGATGGACATGATCTCGGCGACCTCCTCGTCGGAGAAGATTCTGAAATAGACATATACAATTTTCAAATGGAGATGATATTCACCCTAAACCCCAGAAAAGTAACACCAATTTGACAGTGGGATACACTGACAGACATTCCAATACACCCACAAGATACTAGCATGATACCTGCTGTCTGTCTTTAGTCGAGCGCCTGTTTGGAGAGGTTTTAGTTCTACTTCAGTTTCTGTATTTCTCTGGTTTACTGTTAAAACTGGCATACAGTGGCCCCCATGGTTGCATTATAAGGTCCTCGACAAGTGTCCGCCTCACTCACCCGTTGTTCCTGTTCTCGAACCAGAACCTGTCTCCATCTCGCAGTCTCAGGAACTGGTCCATGATGATGAGGGAGAACAGCTCCCCAGGCCCCCGCGGCGTCGTCTCCATCATCCCGCCGACGTAGATGTCGATATTATCAAGGTTGTCGTTGTGGAGGACGCGCATGCGCTCTATTACCTACAAGTGTAAATCGTACGTGACAGTCACAGCGCATCACAAGTAACCTTACACTTAGCACTAAGCGTCTCAGCGCGTCTATACGCTATCACACAGTCGTAGCGCCATGATAGCTTTGTGGAAGAGGGAATAGCATGGCCCAGAAAATGGACACAAATGAACAAAACGAAACGATGGAGGGTGGCACAGGTTGATTCCTGATGACCGTATGCAGCAAGCACAGATTCATCCCGACGGCCTTTGTGATGCCTTGCTGTGACACGTCAATAAAACAAAATCAAATGTTAATGTTTATGTGTGCGCGCGTCTCTTTGTGTGTGTAGAACCTACACACCGAAGTACCATTCCCAGTTTAACATGGACTCGAACACAGACATAGAATACTGAATACTGACACTCCTTGTTCAATTCACTTCACACCATGCGCGAGGTAGGATAAAATAAGTACCAGCCATTAACATATTTTAGTGTGACGCCATGGATCGAACCATTGACCCCCTTGTTTCCAGACATGGCAGACGCTCCTTCAATTGGACCATGGAGTCGTTATCAGTAGTATAATCTAAAACGATTGGCAAAGTGTGCAATATTCCAGCAATGTTAAGGCAATCCTCAGCTTCTGGCACGACTACGGGGCGAACCTTCGGTGCCTTGTAGAGGGTCATCCGTACCCTATGATCATAGTGTACCTCATGATCATAGTTAGACGTGATGGTTCGTAAGGTGTGAGGTTGTTGTGACGGGCACCTGCAGGGTGGATGGCTGTCTGAGAACACTGATTACCTCGGGTTCCGTGGCGTTTAGCCATGGGTTGATGTCCGCCCAGGATGCGATGGTGTCCAGACCCATCTCCCGTCGGGCGGTGTTGTAGTCGGGGAGGCCGTAGTCGCGACCTTTCATGATGTTGAGAACCACGCTGTCGTGGCGGGAGTAGAACAGAGGGCCGTAGAACTTGCCTGTTAGAGGAGCAGATATATATGTTTCGTGATATACAGTACAGAAGATGATCCTAATTTGATTCTTTAAAGGGTTGAATGATACGATTTTCTAGGAGCAAACACTAAAATAGTCGGCACGACTACAGCTACAAAAGGATGCGCCACCCACTTCTGAGGTCCTCGACGATAATGCGGTCCTCTCCCTCTGCCTGCTGGGAGGCCAGTCCTAGCAGCGTCTCCTCTGTCCCCTTCATACTGCCAAACAATACATCCTGAAACAGTGATAAAATACATTACAGAGACGAACACAGCTGTGCGATATATACAAAACATCCCTGGCTCAATTGCACGAACACGGCAATATACACAAAGCATCCCAGGCCTGGAAGGCACGAACACGGCGACATAGGCATTCATTTAAGACAGTGACAGAGAGTCGCACAAAACATGGCCTTATTGAATGTTGGCTACAATGAAACAAAAGAGAAATGCTTATTCGATGGTGATGTATTTGATAAGTGAGTGAGTGAGTATAGTTTTACGCCGCTTTTAGCAATATTCCAGCAGTATCACGGCGGGGCACACCAGAAATGGGCCTCACACATTGGACCCAAGCTTATAAGAATCTCTTTCGAAATGTTTCTCTGTGCAATAAACAAGAAGTTGTCATCCATGAAGTTGTATGCCTCATTTTTGCTTCACCAACTTCAACTTCAAATGCCTATAAAAAAAAACACTTAAGTTTGTAGTTTGTTTTCTGGGGACCGGATTCAGCTTAGAAAACCTTTGAAAATAGCCATCAACTCCTACCTTAGCGTTCCAGTATGTGTTGCACAGTCGATGTGTGTTCAGGAGCTCGCACTTGTCCGTCCTGAAACACAAACATAAATGTCATTAATCGTTGCACTAAAAGCAAAGAGAATGAGATGTAATGGCGTGTTTACGGAAAGAGAAGGTAAGGCTGGAGTACTGAATGGGTAGGTGAGGTAGACAGTATTCTCACCGCTGACGGATCCCCGACGGAATCAGAGTGTCGATGTATCTGATGGCGGTGGCATCAAACAGGTCTGTAACTCTGCTCTGCACTGTCGGCCGGTAACCTAGGTCAAAATACAGACATACAGTACACACGACGTACAAAATACATTTTTACATGCTAAAACAACATCATTTTAAGCGACGCAATTCCTTTCCCCGGTAAAACCAGAGTACAGTGGTAGTGTGTTTGAATCCCAATTCAGTCTAGGTTTGTTAGATCCATACTCATGCTCGTAGGGTTCACACAGTAGGCTGACAAGTTTCGATGGATTGGAATATTGTTCAATGCAGCATAAATCAACTCACTCATTCATTAAAACTTCATTCATTAAATTAATTCATTAAATACTTTATGTTCCCTGTGTCATTTTGTTTCATGCAGGTATATAGTGGATGCGCTATTGCAGGCGATCTTTGATTATATAACCTGAATATTCAATGTATTCTGAAAGTTACTACTGGTACACTATGATGGTGATTGCAGGTGTGTTATGGGTATTATGAAACTCATTACCTGTATAGTCTGGGATAGACGTGTTCAGCAACATCGGCAGCCAGTCGTATATGATGACTTTCTGGAAGTACAACGAACACTTACGGACCCGTCTATAACAACTATATGTAGTTGTAGTCAGTGTCAGACACGGTTATTGCGATGTTAACATCGTTTACATCTATTGTAATTGGAAACTGCCTGAGTGACACAACGGATGGGAGGTGACGGGCTGCCAGTGATAGGTTAGGTACAGAGGCCGCTGGATTCAGCAGTCTTCTGAGAGGATATTGTGGACACAATTATCGTGAAAAAACCCTACCAAACAAAACGAAACCAAAAACAAAACAAAAAAGCGACGGTGGCGTAGGTAAAACGTTCCTTCACATAGCTTATTTTTTCAGTAATTTCATTTATCTCTAGTTTTTGTAGGTATGTGATTCTGCCTTTGGACAGGGAATTTTGACATGTGCTTTGAGATACGTCTTGGTTAGTATTCGTGATTCAAGGAAGTTAAGATGCAAGTCGGGAAACAGTGGGGCGGGTGGTTGGCACCTTGACTGCAAGCAGCTACAGTTATTAGGGTCAAGTATTACCTGAAGGGAGGCAATCACCCATCTCCGGGAACGCTCGAAGATCTCATCTGAGGACATGTTGGGATGGTATTTCCTTATATGGTCAGCACGGTAGTTATGGTAACGGAAAAACAGCACGCCAAGGGCGAGAATTCCGGGATTTTCGTACACATGGGTGTCACCGAGTCCTGGAAAAATGGAAATAATGTATCGTTTAATATCGAGGCTTCGGTACCATATGTTTTGTACTAATCACCAGAAGTACTGAACTGCCTTCCAGAAATATTTTCTGTTCAGTAACCAAGCACAATGTTTCTTGCTCGTGACCTTTAGTAAGAAAAAGGCCATTGTTAAAAAATGTACTTAAAAAACCCATTAAAAACTCCAAAATGATCAAAGACTGAATTTAATACAGAACGGTGTTGGAAGAAAACGTGTAACACTTAAATTTAAAAATATGTAAAAAATATTAGTTTCTTAAAATATCTTCATTATGATCATATAATATAACGAATTGGAAGCACATGCGCTTGTGAAGAATGACAGTGGATTTTGTGGTCGCCAACAATCTTAAATGACCATTGAAAGGAAAGAAGTGGGATTTCTAAATTAACGATATTTAATGTAGAGCGTAATACCTACACGACTTGTCGTGCATTGATTCACTCGACTAAGGAAACTATGAGGTTCTCAGTGGTGATTTGAGGGAGTCGGTCTCACTCCTCTGGTAGCGCATGGCCAAGTTCAGTCAACGAGGTCGGCAGCCTGTGCTGTGAACACACACGCCTCCCCATCATGGTCACGACATGTTCACTGGGGTAAAAACCTTGGCACATTGCTGACCATGACACTGTGTGGATGGTGTGTTGCTGGTGGTGATTCGTGCACGGTTTTTCGTTCGGAAAGATGAACGTCGACCACCACGCCTTGCAAACGGGCAACAAAGGGTGTCAGTGTGTTGTTGCTATAATATGTCTAGTAACCCGTTCTTGCGCAATATGGAGTTGGGTTGACCTAGTCATAGAGATGTCACCCGAAACCATAACCGGTCCAGTGCCAAAGTGGCCATGGGATCTCAGTTTGACCCCGCCATCAGCACTTACTCCACAGTTCCTCGGGATTGATCATCTTCTGATGGCAGTCGGGGTACATCTTGAAGGGAAGTCGGATGTCGTTTAGTTTCGGGTAGCGTCCCCAGTTGTCCTGGCAAGCCAGCTTGCCGGAGTCGTGCTCTCGGAGGTAGCCGGTGCGGACCACGGAACTGCCGTACACGAAGCTGCCGTCGATATAGCTGGACGCCTTGTTGATCTGCAGAGGGAAGAATCATGACTAGAGATAGTTGTGTATAACGATCTCAGCGCTAAGACTTAGGTATACTCCCATTATATAACAGGGATATTAATTATAGGAAAAATGATGATGATAATGATGATGATGATGATGATGATGATGATGATGATGATGATGATGAAGAAGACGATGCGCTAAATTCCATTCACCAAGTAATGTTCATAGCATCACCTCAATTATAACACGTGTCGATGGATTTGTTTTTTATTACTAGCCCGTCGGGGGAGTATACATGTATCCATAGGGTTTCATTACCATACATCATCCGACTGCATCAATTTCTAATACATCACAGGTGTAAGGGCATATCAAAGTATATCGAATATATTTTCATTTAATGAGCAGTGAGACCAAGACAGGGTTAAGTTGTATCGAACCTGTTTTCGTGGGTTGTTAGGCGAATGGCCTGAATTTCGAGCATAGGCAATCCGCTCATAAGGCATGGACTTATCTCCCTTGCTATCGGGGTCAAAGTCGGGGTCACCGCGCGGGACGGGTACTTCAATGATCTCGACTGGACAAGTGACGTCGTCGGTGTCCGAGATCTCTCGCTGTACAAGCTGACCTGTAAGAACAAGTAACATATATGTTTGTTTTACAACTGTTGTATTCGCTGAAACTGGAGAGTGAGTGAGTGCGTGAGACTTGAACTCCACAAACACTAGTTACACCAATGATATTTTTAACACACTGTAACCGGGAAAACGGAGACGTATACAACGTGTCGTATCACATATCGCAATGTCCTGGTTGAAATTGTTTCACAATAGTATAATCTATCATCACTGACGTCAGACAATGCAGTCTATCCGTTTAATTGTTCGTTTAAAAAATCTCTTGTTTTCAATTATTAGGTCTACAGTTTCTTATTCAAACAATGTAGGTTCGGCGGCGATTAATTGTTGACAGGAAAAATGCTATCAAAGCCTATAAAGAATAATTAGGTGTATATCAAAGGCACCTTTCTTCTCCCTCGTCACTCAAAATGTCAATTATACCGATTGACAGCTTCCCACATCACTGTAAGTAGTCATGATTCGAGACAAAGCTGGATTGTTTAAAACTGACATGGATCACGTGCAGTGTTGGCTGTACACGACGCAAAGAGAGGGACGTTGATCGTGAATATGTTCCGTGCCAAGCACTATCTACACCCCTCCACCCCAAACGCACTTTCTCCCCCCTTCGGCTCCCAGACACATACATACATAAAAAGATTAAAATCACCCCTAATAACGATATAACGTGTAAGAAATCAATTACGTTCACACAGTATGCCATTTCGTAATGAGTACATTACACCTACAAGCCCACACATGACAGGACATGACATTTTTTAAAGGTATTTTAGAAGTTGGACGAACATGAATACATGACACGTTTATGGATAGCATTCATCTGATGAAGGAGCAAGAATTAGCTCGGAAACGTCGTATAAAGAATTTTTTTTTAAAAAGAAGAAAAAGAAGTTGTTATCCATAAAAAGTGGGTATTCATGACAGGATATGGTTATGAACGGCCAACTCTTCCTACCATGTAGACAGTATGACACCCCCACCTCTATACAAGGTGAGTTAATCCCACTGTATTGTAAACGTCAACGTGTTTATGGATGACAGGCGCAGCATACACTACATCCACATCCATATCATTAAACGCCAATGAAGATACACGGTTCATCACTCAGCCTAACGGCAAAGTAAGCTGCCGTTTTTATTCGAAGCACACAAATTTTATGAATATACTTTATCACGTGTCAAGTTGTGTCAGAAAACAATTCCAACTTAATCCACTGTTCATATCAGTCATCTATCTTAGCCACTACCACTATAGACAGGAATGTGATCACAACTACCACTATGGACAGGAATGTGATCACACAACTACCACTATGGACAGGAATGTGATCACACAACTACCACTATGGACAGGAATGTGATCACACAACTACCACTATGGACAGGAATGTGATCACACAACTACCACTATGGACAGGAAAGTGATCACACAACTACCACTATGGACATAGGAATGTGATCATACAACTACCACTATATACATAGGAATGTGATCACAACTACCACTATAGACATAGGAATGTGATCATACAACTACCACTATACACATAGGAATGTGATCACAACTACCACTATAGACATAGGAATGTGATCACACAACTACCACTATAGACATAGGAATGTGATCATACAACTACCACTATAGACATAGGAATGTGATCACAACTACCACTATAGACATAGGAATGTGATCACACAACTACCACTATAGACATAGGAATGTGATCACAACTACCACTATGGACAGGAATGTGATCACACAACTACCACTATGGACATAGGAATGTGATCATACAACTACCACTATAGACTTAGGGATGTGATCACAACTACCACTATGGACAGGAATGTGATCACACAACTACCACTATGGACATAGGAATGTGATCACACAACTACCACTATAGACATAGGAATGTGATCACACAACTACCACTATAGACATAGGAATGTGATCACACAACTACCACTATAGACATAGGAATGTGATCACAACTACCACTATAGACATAGGAATGTGATCACACAACTACCACTATAGACATAGGAATGTGATCACACAACTACCACTATAGACATAGGAATGTGATCACAACTAACTACCACTATAGACATAGGAATGTGATCACACAACTACCACTATAGACATAGGAATGTGATCACACAACTACCACTATAGACATAGGAATGTGATCACACAACTACCACTATAGACATAGGAATGTGATCACACAACTACCACTATAGACATAGGAATGTGATCACAACTACCACTATAGATATAGTAATGTGATCACACAACGGTCACTATAGACATAGGAATGTGATCACACAACTACAACTATACCCAGAGGAATGTGATCACACAACGGTCACTATAGACAGAGGAATATGATCACACAACTACCACTATACCCACTGAGGAATGTGATCACACAACGGTCACTATAGACATAGGAATGTGATCATACAACTACCACTATACCCACAGAGGAATGTGATCACACAACGGTCACTATAGAAATAGGATTGAGATCAACAACTACCACTATAGAGATAGGAATGTGACCACACAACTACAACTATACCCAGAGGAATGTGATCTCACAACTACAACTATACCCACAGAGGAATGTGATCTGACAATGGCCACCATACCCACAGAGGAATGTGATCTCACAACTACAACTATACCCACAGAGGAATGTGATCACACAACTACAACTATACCCACAGAGGAATGAGATCTCACAACGGCCACTATACCCACAGAGGAATGTGATCTCAGAACTACAACTATACCCACAGAGGAATGTGATCTGACAACGGCCACTATACCCACACAGGCATCAACCAACCATACCCACAGAGGAATGTGATCTGACAACTACCACTATACCCACAGAGGAATGTGATCACACAACTACAACTATACAGAGGAATGTGATCTCACAACTACCACTATACCCACAGAGGAATGTGATCTCAGAACTACAACTATACCCACAGAGGAATGTGATCACACAACTACAACTATACCCACAAAGGAATGTGATCTCACAACTACCACTATAGACATAGGAATGTGATCTCACAACTACCACTATAGACATAGGAATGTGATCTCACAACTACCACTATACCCACAGAGGAATGTGATCTCACAACTACCACTATACCCACAGAGGAATGTGATCTCACAACTACCACTATACCCACAGAGGAATGTGATCTCACAACTACAACTATACCAACAGAGGAATGTGATCTCACAACTACAACTATACCCACAGAGGAATGTGATCTCACAACTACAACTATACCACAGAGGAATGTGATCTCACAACTACAACTATACCCACAGAGGAATGTGATCAACAACTACCACTATACCCACAGAGGAATGTGATCTCACAACTACAACTATACCTACAGAGGAATGTGAATGTGATCTCACAACTACACTATACCCACAGGAATGTGATCTCACAACTACTACTAACTATACCCACAGAGGAATGTGATCACACAACTACAACTATAGACAGAGGAATGTGATCACACAACTACCACTATACCAATAGAGGAATGTGATCTCACAACTACAACAATAACTACAGAGGAATATCTCCAACTACACTAGGAATGTGATCACACAACTACAACTATACCCACAGAGGAATGTGATCTCACAACTACAACTATACCCACAGGGAATGTGATCTCACAACTACCACTATACCCATAGAGGAATGTGATCACACAACTACCACAACTAATATACCCACAGAGGAATGTGATCACAACTACCACTATAGACATAGGAATGTGATCTCACAACTACCACTATACCCACAGAGGAATGTGATCTCACAACTACAACTATACCCACAGAGGAATGTGATCTCACAACTACAACTATACCCACAGAGGAATGTGATCACACAACTACCACTATACCCACAGAGGAATGTGATCACACAACTACCACTATAGACATAGGAATGTGATCACACAACTACCACTATAGACATAGGAATGTGATCACACAACTACAACTATACAACAACAGAGGAATGTGATCATCACACAACTACAACTATACCCACAGAGGAATGTGATCACACAACTACCACTATACCCACAGAGGAATGTGATCACACAACTACAACTATACCCATAGGAATGTGATCACAACAACTACAACTATACCACATAGGAAATGTGATCACACAACTACCAGACTATACTACCACAGAGGAATGTGATCACACAACTACCACTATACCCATAGGAATGTGATCACACAACTACAACTATACCCACAGAGGAATGTGATCTCACAACTACAACTATACCCACAGAGGAATGTGATCACACAACTACCACTATAGACAGAGGAATGTGATCACACAACTACCACTATAGACATAGGAATGTGATCACACAACTACCACTATATCACACAACTACATAGGAATGTGATCACACAACTACCACTATAGACATAGGAATGTGATCAACAACTACCAATGTGATGTGATCACAACTACAACTATACCAACAGAGGAATGTGATCTCACAACTACAACTATAGCCACAGAGGAATGTGATCTCACAACTACAACTATACCCACAGAGGAATGTGATCACACAACTACCACTATACCCACAGAGGAATGTGATCACACAACGGCCACCATAGACATAGGAATGTGATCACACAACTACTACTATAGACATAGAGTTGTGATCACACAACTACTACTATAGACATAGGAATGTGATCACACAACTACTACTATAGACATAGGAATGTGATCACACAACTGCCACTATAGACATAGGAATGTGATCACACAACTACCACTATAGACATAGGAATGTGATCACACAACTACTACTATAGACATAGGAATGTGGTCTCACAACTACCACTATAGAGATATAGGAATGTGATCTCACAGCTGCCACTATAGACATAGGAATGTGATCACACAACTACCAATATAGACATAGGAATTGTGATCACACAACTACTACTATAGACATAGAAATGTGATCTCACAGCTGCCACTATAGACATGGGAATGTGATCTCACAGCTGACACTTTAGACATAGGAATGTGATCTCACAACTACCACTATAGACACAGGAATGTGATCTCACAGCTGCCACGTACTATACCCACTGTAGAATGTGAGCACACAGCTACAACTATAGACATAGGAATGTGATATCACAACTACCACTCACATGAAACCATGCACCTACCAAAGAAAGCGAACAGCGCCGTCCTGTTGTAGAAGGAGGGGATGGCGGAGTCCCCCTTGAAGAGATCGTTGCTGAGGGAGCGAGGGTTGGGTCGTTCCTGACCAGACGGTATGTAGGTGAAGTCGCGGTAGCTGGATGTGATGTTCCTTGCCAGAGGCTGGTCTGAAACACATCATGGATGCCATGTGTTACTGTCAACAATTCACGCCGACAGGGTTTAAAAACATTTGTAGCTGACCGTCCCATGGCGTCGCATTTCCATATGATAAGATGGGGAATTAGTTCTTTTTCAATTTAAGTATAAGGGACCGTTCATAATTTATGGCGTGTGTGTGTGTGTGTGTGTGTGTGTGTGTGTGTGTGTGTGTGTGTGTGTGTGTGTGTGTGTGTGTGTGTGTGAGTGAGTGAGTGAGTGAGTGAGTGAGAGTGAGTGAGTGATATGATGATTATGATTTTTATGGAGAAACATGTACAATGTGAATGACACCCCACCTCACCCCACCTCCACCCCTCTAAAAACAAAACGAACAAAGTAAGTACCAATTCTGTATGAGTAACCTGTGCTGAGAGTTGATAGTATTTAGCATTCCTGATTCTACGAATTCACTTTGGCGAATTCAACCTTCAGTTAGTGAGGGATCGAGTGACTTCACTGTTATATTACGTCATTCTCTGTAATATTCGAGCTGTATCCCGACAGATACCGTTATCGGTTTTGTTAAGACGCTGAGAGCACATTATCAGCGCATTATTAAGCCATGCATTCGCCGAGTCTACAAAAATGAAACCGTGGGCTTAAGATAACAGTGCTGTAAGCGGGTTTGTAACATTAAGTAGAGTATCTCGGTACACTCCACGGATTATACCGGGCAACACCCTCGGGCAGACTGTTCAAAATACCGTACTATCTATAATACCCACGCGACATACTAGGAATGTGATCAAACCCCCGATACCTCAACATACAAAAATACCCAGTCACGATCCCCAGAAACAGATTTTATTGGGTGTAAACGGTAAGATAACTGATACAATTATATGAATGGACCAGTGAAATCAGCAATGACACAAGATTTCACCCGGTGAAATGTGAGGACATTGTCAGGAATCCAAGTACCAACGTATGCCGACATTTTGACAAAGACGTTTTTAAAGAAATAATTCCGCATAAAAATGTAGCTACAACTAATTATCACCGATGTCACATTAAGTAGGAATATATGTGAAAATCTTTCTTAAATGTTGCAGTGGTCATCCTTGATGCATATACCGTTATTGGGGTTACTTAAACAGCTTATAATACCTTTCTATGTGGTTTATTGTGATATATTCACTGACACCGCGATAATGAAGCCAGAGGCTGGAGTTAACAGGGCTGTCAGCGCCTCTTTAACATTAAGTAGGCTATCTCGCTCGTTTCTATTCAGCTAATAGCCAATATACCCGCACAATACCCCGGGGCATGTCGCACATATAGAGCCCTATCAAGTCGACACTCTGATGGTAGCACTCAATGTGTGATGCAGTTCGTATGAGAAGCCGAGCCTAATATCACCTATATTTTCTCTTAGGGTTATGTCCTAGTGATTATCTGATGTTTATCTACAAATGTTGACTTTCCCGAGTCGCGCCTGGTACCAGTTGCCGCGAACATAATTATCACCTACTTCTTCCATTGTCTCACTCACTCACTCAGAAAAAAATGCTGAATCGGTAATTTGGATTTTTATACGGGATCTTCAGATCCAGTTATATAATACGTCAGTAGAGTTTGAAAAAAATAATTGAATTCGTGCCAAATCCTAAGAAGCTCAATGGTAGACTGTGCGGATTAGAAAAACGAGCGCATCATGTTTTTGTATAACATTTATTGTACGTACTGACGTGGCAGACCCACGTGTAGGTATATAAACAAAACCAAAAAGGATTTGTAAGTGACGCGGTTCTTATCTACACTTAGGAACACTGACTAACGGAACTATGCGAAATGAGGTGTTGATCGACACATATTGCTCGTCTCATAAAGCTCACACGTCATTGTTATCATGTACAGACATGCGCCTTGGTTACATACATACTTTAGTGTGGGGACAGATTTAGGTTCCCGAAACATTGGCTGGGGGACTGAATGGGACGATGTTCTGCCTGGTGACGTGGTCAATTGTGTGGGATATTGATCATAATGCCAGTCACTAGTCTGTCCGGTCTCGGTTATATGCTGGTCGACCCGTGAAGGTCCGGGTTAGGACTGATCTTCAGTAACCCAGGCTTGTCGTAAGAGGCGACTAACGGGGTCGGGTGGTCAGGTACGCTGACTTGGTTGACACATGTCATCGGTTCCCAGTTGCGTAGATCGATGCTCATGCTGTTGATCACTGGATTGTCTGGTCCAGACTCGATTATGTACAGACCGCCGCCATATAGCTGGAATATTGCTGAGTGCGGCATAAAACTAAACCCATTCACTCACTCTATGCTGGTTGCCTTCGTGTAGCTGTAACATTGCTGGATCTGGCTTTACACAACTAAATAACTCAATCATGTACACGTGCTATAAACAACGGTTATCACATAGAAAAGGTATACATCAAGTAGTAGGGACAAAACGTTCGTTATATCCGTCTGTTCGTTATAAACGTAGTTTGCTGTATGTTCGTCTATTTATACCATACATCATTGTTAGCATACACAGACAGGAGTAGAGGGTCACGTGTTACACCAGATATAATTTAAGGATAAAGAAACTGTAACAGAATGCTACACGCCCAGCGTAAATAGTGATGAATGATGACTGTTCAATTGTTTATTCTTAGAATAAGGACATAAAACTGATAACATTACTACATGGACCCAAAACAAAATTTAGACATACTAAATATCAATTGATTAGCTAACCATGGCAAACTGTACAAGCCGGGGGATATATTTGTCTTGCTTAACTATCAGAAAAGAATATAATCTTGTCAAATACATTGTACAACCAATGTTCAGATACGAAGGGTTATTTATTTGTTAAACACATGTATTCAAATCTTAAATTAGAATATGTTTTCCTAACACTACTGTCTGACATAAACGGCTTTTGAAAAATGTATTCCTTGAAATTAAGATATCAATCTATATATCAACTTTAGAATGTATTCCATTCACATAATCATCCTGTTGATAGTCTAATTCTAGAAAGATGTATATTTGTAACTGGTCTGTGATCTCAGTTAAACATATTTCCATACGGACATAGCAGGTTGTGTACACAACGCCAACGAAGAACCGATCTTGAATATGAAAGCGAGCGAGTGCGATCAGATACTTCAACTTGTGCATTCGGAACACAACTAACGTGGATTAGAGAGAAAAAAAACACTCGGTGCGCCGCGTCCATAAACGGCAACAAGGACGCGGAAGTAGTGTTGGAGGCAAATAACACCTGTGTGTGGTTGGAGGAGTGACGTGGAGTATCCTACCAAGGCCGGTAACTCTGACAGGCCTACAAGACGTTTATGTCGGCAACAATGTCTATTCAGTATTGTTTGGTTAGCAGCGCACAAACTCTGTAATGAAACTTTCGGTTACATTACAACACAGGGTCGCTATAATCCATCATATCAACCTCTCCTTCACAAGTACACAATATTTTCTACTCGTCCTGCAAGACATTCACTTCACTTCTCGAATTGTATAAAAAAAATTGTGATTAAAGTTTTTTTTACCATTTTACCATTTTACTCTAATGAACCTTTAAGTTGAGGACAATGCAAAATAATTCTCCTCCAGCTGTTTTTATCACTACCTTTCAAACTCACTCAGGAAGTAAGAATAGGAGCGAATGATGGTTAAAACATATTGTTTTTTTGAGGGTGTATTCGCTTTTATGGGTACGACCCGTTCATTAAGTATGATCATGAACAAGTTGATCAACATTTGTGTATGAGTATATCAAAACACCAGGAGACTGATATCCATGGCAACAGTATGTCCCCTTAAAATCCAGGTTCGACATCAGCTGCGTAAACTTGCTGTATATTTTTTCAACGTACAGTCTTCTACACAGATGTATTCCACATATTGATGACGTAAGCGAGATTTGTTACGTTAATAATGTAAGAACGTACGAGATATGAACAATAACGTTCGGGTCATAATTGCCCTCCATGTTTTATTGGAAAATGATTAAAGGAACCTGACACAACTGGAACATGTACTCTCCCGATAGGACGAGCGTTATTCTGTCATTCGTCAGTACAAGTGAATTTTTGAGCCAATCACAGGTGGAGGTTTTGCAGGCTGGGGGTAATGTGAATGTCGTAAGGAGCTTATCTGGTATACAGTTGCACGCAGTTGTGCACCGAGTCACGCCTCACATCACGACGGTTTATCAAGGCATTTATCACTCTCCCCCAACAAACACGCGAGGACGTATAGAGGGACTTTCCCTAAACGGACTTCCGCGTTAGTGTTTCTTTCAGCACTCGTTCCATGTACATGTATATAATACAAACCTCTTAAAATACTTGTTTATATCCTGGATGTATTATTGGCTCTACGGCCGGGGGGTACTATATTATATGTCTAGTGGATAATCTTCGTGGTATTTGAATTTCAACTTTATGGTTGCTTCTAAACCTACAACTGGAAGGTGAATCATGGTGAAAGAATTCCTGTACTTACTTGTTCCCCCGTCCCTGGGGTTGCCGAGGTTGTTGTAGAGCCCATCAAACCTCTGAGTGGTGCCCAAATTTACGCCGCTCGTGCCTGTGGATAAGAATAATGTGTACCACACGAGGAAACATGTATTTCACATGGGGATAACATTCATATCACACGAGCGAGCGAGTTCAGATTTACGCCGCTTTTAACCATATTCCAGCTATATCACGGCGGGGGACACCAGAAATGGGCTTCACACATTGTACCCAGGTGGGGAATCGAACCCGGGTCTTCGGCGTGACGAGCGAACGCTTTAACCACTAGGCTACCCCACCGCCCCTCATATCACACGAGGAAACATGTATTTCACATGGAGATAACATTGATATTACACGCAGAAACAAGTATTTCACAGTGGGATAACACATATATCACAAGGGGAACACATATTTGCAATGGGGATAACATTTATATCACAAACGGTAACACCTATTTTATATAGAGATAACAATTATACGGCACGTGGAAACACGTATTTAACATTTTTATCACATGTAGAAACACGCATTTCTATTTCTTACCCGAGGGTAACATGTATGACACAGAAGAATATACATACTATACGAAATACATAACCCTAAGTGGTGGCATATATTTCCAATTTGGAGAAAACATATTAATCGATATAGACGACACGAAAAGACCATCGATATAAATTGAGAAAATAGATACAGATCATCGGAAAGAGCTTATGAATTTATTAAGATCACTCGACAAGAGCATTTATAACACGAAAGCAACTGATATATGAAAGGAGCATGGATTGCAAAGAATGACAGCACACAATGGGTCAGATGACATATATAGAACGAAAACACAGGAAGCAAATCAATAAGATATATGTTTCCAAATCTCAGAAATTCATTCCAATATTTATTTATGTAACTTGTGAAGTGTTCATCGAGCCATGGTGCACTCTTCAATTATTGCAAAAAGGAAGCAATCAATATACAAATAACAATTAAATATTGACAATGTTTATAAACAGTGAGCGACAGTAGGTTTTTTTATTCTTAAGACGGGGATTAAAACGGCGACGTAACGATCTTAGGTGACGTGTTACTAACGCTATCATCCCCATTCATACTGAACTAAAGGATCACAGAACACGGGGCGGGTTCTAATGCCCACTTGTTGCTGAAGCACACAACCGGTCACCAAATAGGGACAGGGAGGATAAACCGAGATGTTATAACTCAATTCTTCTTACCTTGAAAGAAAAGAAAACTGCAACATATCCACACACCAAGCATCATCTCTAGTAGAAGGTACCTGTGGTCCTTCATCTCCGGGGCACCTGGGATTTTACCTGTAATCAAAAGCAAAACAATCCCTTATCCCGTTAACAACCTACAGACACAATGACGCATCACACAGTCAAGTAGTCTCAAGCCGCGAACAAATAGTCCGTGAATAGAACGCTCCCGTCAGGCCGTGCTTCGTTTCCAGGTCATCCCGGACCTAGCGGGGCGGATATTGCCGAAGTCTTCCGGAGTTAGAATCCAAGAAATCGAGTGACGTATGAAATCCTGTCTCCGGTCTCCGAACTTGGGTCCGGTTAGCAATTGCTCAACACGTGAAAATATATGAACCCGAGTTTTCTCCTCGGATAATATTTATTCCAAATAAACATTTACATACACCAAAAGGTTCTTGTTTTCACAGTGAACACGCGAACGACATCACGTTTGTTAGCGTATGTTACATATATACTCTTTAGGAGCAATATTATTAGAAACCTTGCTATTTACTAACAACCATTAGTCTCTATAATAAAACGTTAATTCAAAATGTTGCCCTGTCAAACTTAAGCTAATTCTCCACAACGAACAAATGAATTGTTTTGTGGGACCGCGATAGAACCCGAACATTTGAAAGTTCAAACAACTTCACAGTCTGAGCGAGTGTTATAACCTGTGATTCATGTATTCTAATTGACGGTTCTAAATATATGAACCATCGTTTATTGTATTGAATATATACTTGATTCCCTCGAGAGTTTGACGGTTGACTCCAGTTCATGAATATTAAACACGATCACGTGACTCTAAACACCGCTGTTTAATTGGCGCACGTTGAAGTCAGTTACGGGAATTATTCACTTCTTGGAATAAATGTATCTGCATATCCACATAGACTTATACCTGTTTATAGCGCTCTTTATAGGCCGTGATGAGTGTCTCCGTGCGATATAATTCCGCGCTGTGCTACCCATGGTATTCATGTACTCGGAGATCGTAATTTTATGTGTCATACTTAATATTGTCACATTGTGGGATTACACTTTTCAGTAACATATATGTTCTCTTATTACAATACTTTGGCTGAGTACCATCTCGGAATCGACTCACGTTCTCAGTGGCCAGAACTAAAAAGGCATCTTTATTCACGTGTCAAATTTGAGATGATATGTAACTGATGTCAGACAAAATTACCAGAGTTCGTTTTGTACAGGTCGCGCCATTTTAGTCATCAGCTTCTTTGGGGGAACAGTTGTAATAAAATAACCAAACACCGAATAAATATAACTTTTCCGTATATATTGACGGTCAATAATGGACCTGGTCAATGAGCCTGGTCAGTGTATCGGCTCAAGGAGCAGGTAAATGCACCCCGTCAATGTGCCCGGTCGTACCCGGTCACTGGACCCGGTTAGTCTTCATCTATACAGTAAACATAAATCAAATTTTATCACTGGTGTAAGAGGATACTCGTATCTACAGCACTATAGGAAAGGTGTGGCTCCCTGACGTGATGACAACCCGGAGCTCCACACCCTACAGTCCTATGGCTGCAGTCCTATTGGAGCTCCACACCCTAGTCAGTCCTATGGCTGCAGTCATGGTACCTATTGCTCTGTAGTACCTACTTGAAAAAGCTACACCACTGCGTGTCGGGCATATCAATCTGAATAGATGACGTTCTTGGGCACGTGTACAGGAATTGTAAGGCACTCAAGCTATGAAAATCATAAGAAATCTTTCTATAAACAAAGTCGAACATGTCCTACAGCAAAGTCTATCGGTAATTAAAATGAAAGTGCTACTCGCGTCATGACTGATGTCATCAATGCATCCATCCAATGATCTATATCGACGTGGGTTATAAAAGTTTTTCTAGTTCTGCTATCTGGTTATGAAGTATTCTCCCTTTCCTGTTAAACGTCTCTATTTCTGATTAATCGTACTTAGTAAGCGTGTTATTTATATAGAGCATCGCCACTGTTACGCGCGGTAGCAGATTTAACCTGCGTAATAGCTGTCAGTATTCTCCTCAGATCACAGGAAACCTTCTATATTAATATGTATGTAAGACGTTCAACGGAATCTAATCACTTTATTACTTTATAGATTGAATTGTGAATTTGATATATTAATTATATACCAGGAAGTGATATGCATTTTTTTAACAGTGACATAAAATAAACAAAAAATCAGATCGACTTAAACCCAACGCATCCACTCCTTAATTATTATTTCTGTCACCTAACATAAGGATATCACTTAGTTTCTTGCTAGTATTGAATCGTCATTTCATGTTATAACTTTATCATAATAGCACTGTGTAGTGCTTAAACACATAAACACGGAAAGGCACACTATTCTATACACGCACGCACACACACGCACACACACACACACACACACACACACACACACGCACGCACATACACACGCACATACACATGTACACACATGCACACACACGCACACACACACACACGCACACACGCACACACACACACACATCATACACACACTATCATATACATACATAAACAAACAAAATAATGTAATACAGACAGACAGACAGATCTGATTATACAGATTAACCTTAATACTTTTGAATCAAAGTAGACGCAAAAATAAAACGGCTGACATTATATATGAGGTACGTCTTGCTATTATAAAATGTCTGTTATGCTATAAGTAGAGAGAAGATCTACCTGTGCTGTATAGTTGACGTCGTCTTACATAAGCCGTGGCAGACAGAGCCCTTCCAAACACCTAGAATAGGTCCCGGATGTTCACACTAACAAACCCAAGTTGTCAGCGACTGCTCTCGTAGCGTGGTATTATATGCCGTAAAGTGTCCTGCGTGGACCAGCTATACATTGTATACACTGTCCACGTGGGCTGAAACTTCGTACAGTTTTCTCGTTGAAATAGGATTACGTGATACGAATTGTTGAAATAAGTGAGATCGTCCAGACAGACTCCTCGCTCAAACAACTTTACTGCAGCTAAATCGGTTTTTAGTCAGATCACTTCTCTAACATTTGGAGAACATGAATTATTTTTTGAGACGATTGGTGTACATATGACAGATGTTTCTGAATCGGCAGAGCGAGACTTGTTACGTTTCTGTTATCTTAAATCCCGACCGAGTGCATGTAGAGTGCAAGGTTTGGGAGCGCAGTGAAAGGAGATATTTTATGTCTAAGGACATTTTTAAATATTCAGAACACTCAGAGCATATACAGTCTTGACAGATTCGCTTGTGATGATTATATTAACGAGAGTCCATTGACGCATATCCCATGCATACTTTACAGACAGTTAATGTAAGACTGCGACTATTCCACAGATAGACAGTGTCACAGTGACGTGCACCTTCTGCTTGTTTTTATCATTGTACAGATAATCAGTGTCACAGTGACGTGCACCTTCTGCTTGTTTTTATCATTGTACAGATTATCAGTGTCACAGTGACGTGCACCTTCTGCTTGTGTTTATTATTGTACAGATAATCAGTGTCACAGTGACGTGCACCTTCTGCTTGTTTTTATCATTGTACAGATAATCAGTGTCACAGTGACGTGCACCTTCTGCTTGTTTTTATTATTGTACAGATAATCAGTGTCACAGTGACGTGCACCTTCTGCTTGTTTTTATCATTGTACAGAAAATCAGTGTCACAGTGACGTGCACCTTCTGCTTGTTTTTATTATTGTACAGATAATCAGTGTCACAGTGACGTGCACCTTCTGCTTGTTTTTATCATTGTACAGATAATCAGTGTCACATTGGCGTGCACCTTCTGCTTGTGTTTATCATTGTACAGATAATCAGTGTCACAGTGACGTGCACCTTCTGCTTGTTTTTATTATTGTACAGATAATCAGTGTCAGAGTGACGTGCACCTTCTGCTTGTGTTTATCATTGTACAGATAATCAGTGTCACATTGGCGCGCACCTTCTGCTTGTTTTCATCATTGTACAGATTATCAGTGTCACAGTGACGTGCACCTTCTGCTTGTGTTTATTATTGTACAGATAATCAGTGTCACAGTGACGTGCACCTTCTGCTTGTTTTTATCATTGTACAGAAAATCAGTGTCACAGTGACGTGCACCTTCTGCTTGTTTTTATCATTGTACAGATAATCAGTGTCACAGTGACGTGCACCTTCTGCTTGTTTTTATTATTGTACAGATAATCAGTGTCACAGTGACGTGCACCTTCTGCTTGTGTTTATTATTGTACAGATAATCAGTGTCACAATGACGTGCACCTTCTGCTTGTTTTTATTATTGTACAGATAATCAGTGTCACAGTGACGCACACCTTCTGCTTGTGTTTATTATTGTACAGATAGTAAGTGTCACATTGGCGTGCACCTTCTGTTTGTGTTTATTATTGTACAGATAGACAGTGTGTCACAGTCACGCACACCTTCTGCATTGTACGTGTTTATTATTGCACCGACAGTAAAAGCTTAATATAACAGTAGCTTGTATTGCACGTGTTTATCACTACTCTGATCAGCCAGATCAAGGGATTATACAAATGGACATATCGGTGGGTCATTCACTATTTATAACTCTACACATGCATGTTCATTTTACTTTTGTAAATATACAAATACATGTTCATTTCCAAGGAGGTTTAATGTAGGTAACTATGTAAAATACGTGTTCGGGGTATTACAAGGCGAGTTACACGGATTACTATACACATGCATTAAGAGATTCATTACGTCGGTAAATATCCATATACATACTCTGGGCATATCATGGAATCATCATCTACGTTGACATCTACACAACTGCATAGTCGGGGTATATTGACATATCATAAAACAATATATTATCCTACCCGTGAAGATCAGGGTTAGAATTGATCTTCAGCAACCCATGATTGAAGTAAACGGCATAACGGGATCGGGTGATCAAGCTCGTAGACTCAGTTGATCAAGTCATCGTCTCTCACTTGAGTGGGACAAACAAACACATCCTATTTTATGCATTGTTATATGCCAGCAAAAGGGTTTAGGATATTTGTCATCATATAGTCAGCGTTAGTCTGTCTCACAGTCCCTGAACCACATTAATTTCCCTACTGCCAAGCCCTCTATGCGCTGCTAAAGCCCTAAATAAAGCAAGTCTAGATTTCCTCAGGTTCAATCTCTGGTCTCCCTAGGGCTCCTTTTCAATA